CCAAGTTGATTACTTTTGAAGTTTAAAGTTTTAAATCTATACTTTAACTTCAATAATACAGGTATAAAATACTTCAATATGTTTTTTTATAACCTATAAGTACCTCGGCGACACGGAAACATTGCGAAAGCAGTTCCCGCAGTGTCATCGGTTAAACAATGATAAAAATAAATAAAAATGGTACCTATAGGCAAAGGGTGGCAAATAAGTAGAATGCGTGCCACGGTTGGCACGCATGAGATTTTCGATGGCACTTGAAACTTTTATTTGTCCATATATATTTATAGATTTTTAAGTAACATACAATAAATTGAATTATCAATTGCATATTTTAATAATATATATTTCACAACCACATGTTGTTATCTTATATTTATTATTAAAAAATACATTTATATTTTTCATTTGTATTTATCTGTATTAATAAAAATAATTTTGGCACTACTGAAATTTTTATTTTTTAATTATGGCACGTTGAAAAATCCTATTAGCCATCCCTCCTATAGGCTATAGCCTTAATAATTTTAAGAACAGAAATTTCTTCTACTTGTAGACCTTATTCCTTGTTTAATTTTTGAAAATCGCTTCAATAGGAACCTAGAAGACTTGTATACAAAGTAAAATCTGTTTTCTAAATTAAAATCGATCAATCTCGAGCTTTACAATTTTGTCTGGCGTTTAAGTTGTTTTATATGTTTTTTTCGACCCGCTTCAGCCACTCTAAAGACACGAACAAATTAAACTCATAGTTTTATATTTAGTATTGAATTTTTTCTTCCTATTGATACTGTTTTGTTAAACAATTATTTTACATAATTAATGATACATGCTTAATATACAGTTATAGAATTTCCAATTGATTTTTTCCTGTTATAAAATTATTGACTATGGTTGCAGGGCTTACTCACTGAAGGCATGAATTACGCTTTTCTCCGCTACCTTGCTATAATAGGATTTCAAGGTTCCATAAAAAATAAAACGGCCGTTACCATTAACGGAACATTATGCAAAACATTATATGTATGTATTAAAATATTAACAGATAAAATTCTTAAAATAATCCATGTATTTATCTTTAATAGAAATGTTCATTAGACGAAAAATACAAAATCAATGATGAACTTACACAAGTGGTAATTATTAAGAGGTTTTTATACAAAGAGTCTTCAAAAAATCCATTTAATGAAATGACCACAGTCTTAACTCGTTCTGGTTACACGTTGAAACATTGTTGGGGTGAAACAATCAACAACAAATTGATTATAAGAAATACAATGCGAATAACAAAATATGGTTGTGTCCATGAAGACCCTATGTTAAGTTTAAAGAAAAAAATGGAGCAAGATCCTCGTTTAAAATCTATGTTTTTAAATGAAATTGTAAATATAGACAATAAAAACAACTGCATGTGAATTTTTAATCGAACATGTTAACATTTCAGGCAAAAACAAAAATTATGTGTAAAAGTTACTTGGAAGAAAACAAAGAAGTTAAAGACATGATTATTAATTACATAACGGAGGTATTGGCAGCCAAACCAGTTGATGTGTTACAGTTTTCAATTAATTATTTCGAAGGAATGAAATAATTGTCTACTATTTTGTATATTATCATCTAAACATAAAAACTTTTTCAACATTCTTTAAAAATATATTTTCTAACTTAATAAGAATTCTTTGACAAACTCAATTGTATTCAACCAAAATACAAATTAATATTTATAAACTTAGATTTAATACATCTAATTTTGGTGCATGCATATAATAATGATATTGATAAATATGAGTGTTTAATAATTTTAATGTACGAAATGCTGTTTAACGAAGAACGAAATATTAATTATCAGTCGACAAAATCTGCAAACATTTTCATTTTTATATCGTTTTTAATTTTTTATTCGATTAATTTAAAGATCGATTAGAATGAATTTAAGAATACGCCTGAATATTCCATCAAAAAAATTTATATATGTATATATATATATATATATATATATATATATATATATATATAGGACAGGGACGGGAAAGATAATTGAAAAAAAAGAATCTAGATACTAGATACATTTTTTTTTACCATTTTAGAAACAAAATATAAAATACAATATATAAGATACCATTATTTTTTATTTTTTTTTTTTAATTACTATTAAAGATGATAAATATAATAAAACTTATTGTATTTCAATATTTTTTATTTTCAATAAAATTAAAACACACAAACATTATCTATTTTTGATATTAAATAATAAAATAATTTAAAAATTATGAATTATTTTAAAGAAATATTAACTGTGGAACATTTTATCACAAAATCATGAACATATTGGTCTAATATATGAATAACTAAAGAACACAAGCTTGTCTTGTAGCGAACGAATAACTAAGTATAATTTACTCTAAAGTAGGTTTCTACTTCTTTAAAATTTGTTAAAACATGTTTTCGATTAATTTAATGCTTATATCGCTTATAATAAATATAATAAATATGCTTATATTATAATAAACTACGTACATTACATAAGACAAATTTAAACTTTATTTTTATTTATATCTTGTATCTTTATACAAACGAAATGAATAGATACAAGATATTCAGCAACAAGAAGTATCTGAACACAAGATATAAGGCGCAACTCACAAATGTTAAAATATATAATACACATATATGAAAATGTCTAATTTTAATTTTCAACGGACCTAGTTGGTTATTGTTTTCTAAACGCATTAGTTTATATTATCTAAAACCTCCGTTGATTTCGTCCACCCCTACATACAGTTACGATTATTGATATTCTAGGGTATTAAATTATAATATTCATATATGAATACTAGTATAATAGATACTAGTCAGTATAAAAAAAAATGTATTTAAATATAAGTACTTAATAGAGAAACGAACTTGTCATCGATATTAAAATTTAAAGAATAAATGCATTGCTTACAAATTGGTAAATTAAATTTATTTTTGTTTTTACACATTCTTCTTCTGTCAGTTCCTATCCATTCCAGATGTTGGATATCATATTGGCTCCGCTATTCCTGTCAAGTGATGCCCGAAATAAATCAATTGATGTTGTATTGTATTGTATGTATTGTATGTTTGTATTGTATTTTACACATTAGCGTACACGAATTACCAATTTTTTTTTATATATTGTACATGGAATTATACAATTCAAAATACGTTCGGAAATCGGGTAATCAGCTCGCTCGTGGAGTTAATATGTCACCCTAACTTATTGTATATTAACTTTTAACTTGACAGGTAATCTGGTCCTAACTTCCCTAACCTTGGATTAGTCAAGTTGGAGATAACTTAAAAGATCTACGCGTATTAATACAACACCGTGGTAGGGTCATTTTGTATCGGATTAGATAGTCGTACTGTCTCATCTAGACGGTTCGGCGGGATTCACGGGTCTCGCGTTCGTCACCATCGAAAACCGTGAACTAATGCTTCGGAGTACCGCGGGGACGAAAATAAATCGTTCATTTCGAACTGTACAGGCGGGGGAGCAGAATTACACCGGGACTTACAACGGGTTAACTATAACAATATGTCGAGCGGAAATTCCTCGATTTCTATGCATTCGTAAAACTCGAATGTCACTCACGCAATTAATAGTAGAATTACTTGGCTCGTACAAACGTCAACGGTAATTCTTATGGTTTGGTCGAAAATCATAACGTTCTGATAACAGATGCTGCAGTATCATTGAGCATCATTCGATTTTCTCGTCTTTCCTCGAAACTTTCACATCGATTTGATTCTCAAAAAATAATCCTTCGTGTTAGATCGATGATACCGGCCAATGTTGACTAATCTCATCTAATTCGATTTACTTACTGTTGTCGTTACTGCTGTAGTGTTATTCTGTTATTCAAATCAGTCGATTGTCATTTTATCATATAATCGTATCCACTCGAATTATTTTTACGTTAATATTTCGACGGATAAATATACAATACTCGGGAGAAGTGCACCCCGAATTCTCGTGTTCACCCCCACCACGATACACGGGCCCCCCCCGGCGTTCCATGACGCGGGCACTACGTTTGGCCACGCGCGTTTATCGTTTGTTTTTATTTTTATTTACACAGCAGAATGATGCGAGCCGTTTCACTGTAGCTCATGACCGCGATGCGAAGGCAACCGGATCGTTTGCACGGCCGCCGCGGAGCACGGGGTTCATAGCGCGCGTTATCTACATATCAGAACATATTTTAAAAAGTACATGGCACTAGTGCGACCCCAGCAGTAGCGTGGTGAAAGGGTTTTTATGACGCCCGGGCGTCATGGTGAAAATGTTATGGATGGGTGGGGTTGTGTGGTAGGACTTAGATGTGTAAAGATTTTGGACGATTACAAACTTATCGAATTTCCAAGTTTAAACATATCACCAACACGAAAAACGAATGCAACGGAATATCATAGCCGATAGTAACGTAACAACACACGGCAATTAGATCGAAAATCCTGTATTGTTTAAATTGATTTTAGTTGATTTCACATAAAAGGGGATAAGCCTATTAGAATTTGCTAATCTGAAATTTGAGTTGGTAAAATATAAGTAGTTAGGAAATTAAATTTTTAATAATTTTTAGTCTTCTTCGATTTATATTTTTGAAAAAAAATGTCTAGGATGGTGTGCTAGGGAACGATGTGGGCGGGTATGTATTGAAACATATGTTGTGCACGCCACAGCCCCCCCCCAAATGATAATTGATCGTACCACTAACCAACACGTTCTCATACCGACCGCAGTGACAGGAGTCGATTTTCCCTGTACGTTCCCGCGCAGAAGAACACCACGTCTATGAACCACGGTGGTAGACAATCTTATCGAAGTGCCACCTAGTGAAAATTACTTGAAATAGGTTCTGCTGCGTACCGTCGCGACGTTAACCGTGGGCCCCCCTAGCCGCCGGCTCCTGACCCTTACCCTACCGCCCGTTCCCGTGCGGCTCACCCCGAATGTACGTGCGGCAGACACTTACCGAGTGCGCGACGATGGCGTTTTGAGGTCGGACGTCGGGAGAATATTTTAGGCGGTCGGTTGGCGTCGACAGGTCAGTCACGGGTCGCTGCGGAAAACACGGGAAGAACAACGTATGCGCACAACGTACGTGCGTAGGCGCACGCGAGCGCGTAAACGGAACACGGACCGCGGTACACGGTTGGGCGGCACCACACGAACCGGGCGCACTGGCAGGACGCGACTGTTGTGCGCGCGTGCGAGCGCGATCTCGTGTACGGGTGCGTGCGGGTGCGTGCGCGCGTCTGTGTGTGTGTGTGTGTGTGTGTGTGTGTATGTGTGAGAGCGAGCGAGAGCGAGAACGACGACCGGCACACGGAGACGGAGAAACACACACCTCCCGCGATCGAGCAAAGACGTTGCCGTCGCCGGCCGTTGTTCCTCCACCGGTTACGATGCGCGGTCGTCGAATTCACTGCCACCGCCACCGCCGCCGCAGACGCGTTTTTATTATTATTATTTTTTTTTTTTTTTCCAGACGTTCTCAACGTTGTAACAAAACTCTGCGGCGGTAACGCGCACGGACGAACGGTTCGTACCACACGCGCGGACGAGTGCAACGGTCGAGCATCACGTGATCACGACGATCGCGGCGTACTCCCCGCGCCCAAACACGACCGACGGACTGCCGCCGGCTGCGCTACCCCGAATCGACGGCACGGGGGGAGGGGGCACGTTCCCGGGGCCCGCGTATGCTTAGGGCTCGCAGTGTTCTCGGCTCGAGATCGCATTGAAACCTTGTACGTATTGAAGTACCACGAGTTTTGTTTTCTCGTTCGGATTAACGGGCGTCGCCCATTCACCCATGTTTACCGCCACGCGTTTAAAATAAAACCTTGGAAGCTTTATAGATACACGAAGAAAGCGCGAAAAAAATACTTTTGCACGAAATACTTGATTTCATTTGCGCACAGTATACGTATTATGATGAAAAACAATGTGTTTTTAATGTTTTTATTATACCTGATTAAAAAGGTTTTAATCTGTTTACTCGTATGTTTTTATAACCTCTAAAGAACTGTTTTCATTGTCACGGACCCACAACCGTCTATTGGCCCTTGGGCCCGTGAAGGTCTTGATCTGGGTTTGGTCCCCAACAATAATGTTGTGTACCACTGGCATTGCTTTTGCCGCACAAGATAACGCACGTCGTCCGGTTTCATACAAACTACACACGGATGGGAAATAACATTAGTACCCGGGGGCTTATCGGCTGAGAACAATTTGCCCGTTTTCCGCGGTGGAACGTCGAAACCTCTAACGGAATATCTCCTGCGTGCTTCAGCTTACGGCAGTACCGTACGACGTTGCCGGTGGTGACAGTGAATAAACCGATCGCAGGAGAAAATATACGTATATCATTAAAATAAAACGTTTAATCGCAGTAATATGTAAATTTTTTTCCTTGCTCGTATCCGAGGCGAAATTTCACTCTTAGAACTTAGAGCCCAGTGATGTGAATAAAACATGGGTCTTTATTTGATTAAATACAATTTTATCGTATTTCTAACACGTTTCGAGATCAAATTTATTAGCATTATAATTTATTTAACACGTTTCTATTATTTTAAAAACAATATTTATTCACTCGAATAAAGATCGAACTAATTTTTTTTTTCATATCCACAAATAAATACTAGTATACATGCGAAGAATATTTCGAGTCTCAAATAAGTAAATACTTATCTACGATTTTTTTAATCACCTTTTCTACAAAACCATGTAATTGGTTAACACGTTACATTTACAAAAAATTTAATACTCCGATTAGAATTTTATTACCCGAAATTTGGATTATAAAGTCCAAAAATCAAAAATTTGAATTTCATAATTAGGATTTAAAATTTCAAAACACTAAAAATCCGGTAATCTGAAAATCCAGATTTCGAATTTCAAAATCCGAAAATCTGAAATCCCGATTTTTCGGATAAACCGGATTTATTTTACATCAATAGTAGGAATATTACTGACCTTTCTTATAAACATGTCCTTCGATTGCCTATACACAGCGCCGTTCGAAACTTTTTTCAGCATTTGAACAGTGAACGTCATAAGTTTCCAGAACAATGATTATTTATGATATTTAATATTGTAACTGACTACGATCAAAAATAGCGTAGGCAAAAATAATATACGAGTATAATGTGTCATAATTAGAGACGGACTTATTGGATTTTTCGGTTCTGGTTCCAGTTTAGGTTATTAAATTAATTTTCGGATTTCGGTTCTAGTTCTTAAAAAAAAAAATAAGGGTTCAATAACCGGTATATACCGGTTATTTTTGGTTAAAAAGTTAATACTGTTATAAGCAGTGATATTTTCATTAACTTTTTTTTTATAGTTTACTTAGGTACGAGGGCTTGAATATAGTATATAGTGAAAATTAATACTCATATATTATTTATTTATTTGTTTATTTACAAATATATACGGACTGTGTCCTATTATATAGTGTGAAAATGTATTCTTAATATTGGTTACATTGTTTGTTATTAAATATAAATAAACTTAATTACTTAAAATATACATAATAAATAATTACAAATATATAAGTATTACCTGCGTTCATCAAAATATAATGGGGAGAATTTAACATATAATTTTTTATATTATAATTTTATTTGAGAAAATTGGGTAAAATGGCAAAGGGTATATAGTATTAAGACTGTTTATTTTAAAAATAATTAAAGACAGCAGCTCTGGACAATCAATACCAGTTAATAATTTATGTAAAAGTTTTGATAGCAGAAGTAAACGACGATCAGTTAATGAAGTAAGATTAAGAAAGTATAAAACAACATCGTAAGAACTATGGGGATGTCTAAAAATATTAAAATTAAAAGAAACAAATTGTAAATTAATAATGATTTAAACCAATCGTTTTCAGAAATGAGTGTATAATAAAATATTTATTTATATATTTATTATTTTTTTTTATTAAGTTTAACGGGATAAGCCCTTTACATAAGATATTAACCTATATTTCAAATAAATATAAAAATTTAAATTAAATTAAATTTATTAATAATAGTATTAATTAAAATTGAATTCATAAATATTGTATTTTGCATTTTTATCAGAAGTAGGTATTTATTTTTGGGAAAATAATACGTCTAAATTATTAGAACAATTTGGGGCAATTTTTTTTTTTTACAAAAAAAACAAGTAAGACAATATCAAATAGGAATTGACAAAACCATCGAAGAATTGACTGTAAAAAATGAAGAGCTAGACTAGGAAGCAATTCGGAAGATGATCTTAAGAATAGCAGAACAGAATATAGGCAGGCGTATTGAGGCGGTCAAAAAATGTTTGGTACAATAGTCAATGTCAAAAAGCTATAGAACAACGTAAAAAAGCAAGAGAGAATCATTCAAGATGGAAAACAAATGAAAGTAAGAAGATTTTCATATCCGAACGTAAAGCATGCAAGAAAATCTCACAACAAGAAAAAAATTCTTCAACAATATACTCCAAACTGCAGAAGAAGATCGAAGTCAAAATAAAATAAGAAATTGTTTCCGTACAATAAAACAGTATAAACAGTTCAACCCTATATGCAAAGCTATAAAGAATCACGATGGACAAATAATTATGGATGCAGACACTAGAGCGTCAAGGTGGAAGGAATGTTTTGAAAATCTACTGAATACCACAATACCAGACAGCCCGACACCATATACCACCTTGTAGGGCGTGGAACCATTTACCGAGAACATTAGTCAGGAGGAAGTGAATGTGGCAGTCACGGGTTTAAAAAACTGGAAGGTTCCAGGATCTGACAACATACCGGCGGAGTTAATGAAATTCGGAGGAAATAACCTTCAGAAAGTTTCATTTAGATTATGCGATAAAATGCGACAAATGCCAACAAGCTGGTACAAAGCAGTTATCATACCACTACATAAAAAAGGGGATAAAATGGAGTGTGACAACTACAGGAGTATCTCCCTCCTGAATACAGCATATAAAATATTTTCCAAAATTCTACTGAAACGCCTGATGTCATACGTAGACGAAAACATAGATAACTTTTCAAACACGCATCAATATAATTATTTATATATTATTTGTATAGTTGTATATTTTAAGTTCAAAGCGTAATAATGAAACTACGAATATATTACACGTCATCAATAATAAAACAATTTTCTTTTTTTTTTTGACCCTGGGGGGTTTGAACTCGGAGTAGCTAGAAGAAAAAGCAATTTTAGCAGCAAAAAATGTAAACGTTAACGAATTAAATCTCAAGATACAACATTTGTTACCAGGAGATTTGGTGTCATACAAATTTATTGATACAGTTTGCGATGCTACTGAAGCTATAAATTATCCAACAGAATTTTGAAACTTATTGGATTTATCAGGCATGTCACCGCATAATTTACAACTGAAGGTTGAATCTCCCGTTATTTTGCTTCATAATTTGAACTCACCACGGTTGTGCAACAGCACGCGATTAGTCATTAAAAAATTAATGAAAAATGTAATCGAAGCCATAATTTTAAATGGCAAATTCCGAGGTGAAAATATATTATTACCACGAATCCCTATTTTACCAACAGATGTGCCAATTCAATTTAAATGCCTTCAATTTTCAATTAGATTGGCATTTGCAATGACTATCAATAAGTCTCAAGGCTAAACAATGTCTGTCTGTGGCTTAGATTTGAGAACATCATATTTTCACACGGACAATTATACGTGGCGTTCTCTCGAACCATCCAGGTTGTTTGTGTTGGTGAAAGATGGGAAACAATAAATACTGTACACTGTCGCATTAAGGGATTTATAGGCGCGGCAAATGCCCAACAATAATATAGGGCTGGATTGTTCCCCGGTTAAATAATAAACAATATAATTTTTATAATAATCAACTATAATAAATAAAATAATAATAATATGCTGGCCCTACAGCGGCACAACAATAAATATATAAATAAATCAAAATGTGTAGCCCACACGGCTCACACTAAATATAAGAATAAAAATACAATAATACAAGTGTTGGCCCTACAGCGGCACAACAAAATATAATAAAAACCACAATGTGTGGCCCACACGGCGCACACTCAATAATAATAATACTATAATAATTTTCCCTTGATGGCTAGGCCCGTCGGCCTTTACACAATAAACGAAACAAATATGGTCAATCAACACTCACATGTGACTATGTTGAGTGGCTAATTGCATCCACGTGACCCCACCAACCCTGTGACTAGACAATTGAATACGACTGCACACCCGCAGTGTATATCTGAAAATAAGTCACAGACTTGGTACGTGCGTCCACCCAATCACAGTCACCAACGAAGATAGAAGGTCTACAGCGCAGACAAAGACACTGTGAATGAAACAGTGCATTTTATAAGGAATTTTCACTGGGCGACAAAAAAATGTTTTTCTCGAAATAGTCAATGTAATACCATAGTACGATTATAGTATTACACGTTTGTTTCGCATTATTTCGCCCAATCTTTCAAAATATTGTCGACAGAGTATAAACACTGGGCGAAATTTGTGTCGCCTAGTTAACTAGTTAAAAAATGTACCGGAATGAAAGCCACGTTAATCACAATGGCGATTGGTAAATGACCACCCTAGAACACGGTGACTATAAATGAAGGCAATACTAATTGCGCAGAACGACACTTACCAGACAGCCGACACGAAAGACATGAAAACACAGAAAAACGTGGTTTGACGAAAATAGCTGTAGACCAACAAACGAACACTTGAATGACATAGTTATTCACTCCACGACGAACACGAACAAAGAACGAGACGGTGCCGACGAAATTTACCACGAGGGCTCTGGCAGCCGGACATTACAAAATGAAGAAAAATGTCTCAGTGCCACCACACTTAACCAAAAAACACGAGAACTTATGAAACTTTGTGGCACTGAGAACATGACTAACTTTTTTGAAACATAACCGACAAACAATGAAAACGTGGAATAACGGATACATTTACGTGCGGTGATAACAATGCGATTACGTACCCGGCTGGTCGCACACGGAGGTTTATCACCCCCCGCCAACGATGACTGTGTATACGCAACGCACCGCTATGCATCGCACGAAAATGATAACATGAACAAAATTACAAATAACAATATTGACGCGAACAGAATTGATATTGTTTTTACTAATATTGTCATAATCAGCGATATATATAATTTTAAAGGATTAATTTTAATAAATTATTAAAAAAAATGAATGTTTGATGTTTTTTCATTTTCATATTTTGTCATCGTTCACAGCACTCAATACCTCTTCCACTTATATACCACATCCTTACACACCTATATTAAATTAGTTATTTTTTTCTAGCAAAATATTCTCTAGAAATAATTTATATGACAAAACAACGTTTGTCGGGTCAGTTATTATATATATATATATATATATATTAGGGTGGCCCTTATATAGAAATAGGTGACAGTGGCGTGGCAAGCATATTTCAATACTTAAGCAAAGTATATAAATAATAACCCACCCCTCCCCCATTACTAAATAATACATAAGTATATAACTATTCAATTTTACTACCTTTAGGATTTTCCTTAAGTCTTAACATATCTACCATATGAGCATATTAAATTATTTTATCATTTTAATAATCATTATATATTTTTTTACAGACTTTTTGTTCGTAATTCTGTCTACGATATGCGATGTTGTATGGGACAAGAATATTTTGTAGAATCTAATTGAACTTCTGGATACGTCTCTCAAAATATGGAATTGTACATTAAACAAATTAATTACAGGCAACAGAAGGTAAAATAAACAAAAATTATTGCAAATTCATTAAATAAAAATTAATACAGTAGAATTCAATAGAAAATTACATAATCTTCGGTATCAGATGAAAAGCGAATTAAAAAGGATAAAGAATAAGAAAAGTGGAACAGATGCCGATGATGTCGTAAAAAGTTCTTTGGAGTATTTTGATACTAAAATTTTGCGTTAGTGTTTCGACATGATTTGAACAACGGAAGTATAAGAAGTATTGCCTATGAATGGGCATGCGATCAGTAGTGCCCATTCAATCTATTGAGAGAAATATATTCAATAATTACAAATTTGTATTTTACTTACTTATATTTATAAATATATATTTCAAATTCAAATTACAATTATGGAAATTTATTAAAAATAAAACTGTTGCTACAGTTATAATCCTTTATTTAATATTTGAACCCAGATAATTTGATTATGATTTCGATCGCTTATAAATTGTAATCGTAATAAAAACACATTATAATGATCTTGGCTATGTCGAAAAATCAACAAATTTCAGATCTTGTTTCGTAACTGTAGATACCATTAAGAATATGTTTACTTTTTAACGGTTTTATGGATTATTGAATCACAACCCGCCTTGACATCAAACCAGTCAACGCATCTAATTAAACTTTGAGCATATCAGTGTACTTTGAAAGTAATTGTATATAGACAATGGCGACTAACATTAGCTGTGGTGTAACGAACCATAAGAATGTTAAGCAAATCATATACAGTCCAAAGAAATGCTCAATTTGTAAAAAAAAACTTAGATGTACGATTTCTTCTTTATTAGTAATAGTATTCGACAATTTGTTCTCCTGTAACAATCAGAATTAAAAGTTCTTGGTCTAAAATGGGATCCATTAATTGACACATTCTCATTCAAAACAAAACTATCGGCTACTAATCCAAGCAAACGTACTGTTCTGTCAGACATTGCCCGAGTGTTTGATCCCTTAGGGTTACTTGCGCCCATCACATTTTAGACAAAGTGCCTTATGCAGCAATTATGGACTTCTGGTATTGACTGGGATGATCCAATACCTACTGATGTTGGTGTTTTGTGCTCAAGATATCAATCAGAGTTGCACCAAATTGAAAATATCTCTACTCCTCGTCATATTACCCATGATAATGCTATATCTACACAATTACATGAATTCTATGACAGCTCTGAAAAAGGCTATGCTGCAGCCATTTATCTTCGTGTTGAAACCGCAACGTCAATACATTGCCAACTTATTATTGGCAAGTCAAATGTAGCACCACTCAAAAGAACTACAATTCCTAGGCTCAAGTTATGCAGCGCTCATCTAGCTGCAAAGTTACTTCACTTAGTAAGAACTACATACACAGATCGAGTGCAAATTGACGACCTATTTGCTTGGACTGACTTTACTACTGCGTTAGTCTGGATTCGGTCTTCACCGCATCGCTGGGACACTTTTGTCGCCAACCGAACCAGTCAAATCCAAGAGTTAACTACACCATCAATCTGGCGTCACGTACCCACAAAATTAAATCCAGCGGATTGTGCCTCGAAGGGATTGTTTCCGTCAGAACTCGAAAATCACTCTCTCTGGTGGACTGGCCCACTATATTTACTGGACCCACCATCCAAATGGCCAGGAGCTACATTCCATTCACCAGAAGATCAGACCACAAAGCCACTCGAAAAAACTAAACAAGACACTGTACTGCATATTAATTTACAATGCTCAATTCAAAATGTCTTAACTCGATTTTCATCATTCAACAAAATTCTTCGAGTTATTGCCTATTGTCTTCGATTTTGGAAATCTCGATCAATTATTCCACTTATGAAATCATTGAATGCAAGTGAAATCACCTCGGTACTTTCATCTCTGATATATTCTTCGTTCAGCAATCTGCATTTTCGGAAGATATACTACGGCTTAAAAAAAGTTTACGATGCTCGAAAAATCTTCGTTCATTAGATATCTTCCTTGATACTCATGGGCTTATCAGATTTGGTGGCCGTCTGAGAAACGCCGACGTTCCATATGAACAAAAACATCCACTTCTTTTACCATCAAACCATCGAGTGACGGATCTTCTTATAGATTATTTTCATCAACGTCTCAAGCATCCCGGTGCAGCAGCTCTCCAAAGTTGGTTGCAAAGAGAATGGCGGATTCAATCAGCACAACGAGTTATTCGATCGCGATTGCGACTTTGTATTTCATGCTTTCATGTAAGACCACGATCTTTACAACCAAAAATGGCGAACCTCCCTAAGTATCTAAAATCAAGGTTGAAGAGTCCTATAAGCCGAAAGTGATCAGCCAATATCTTAACTGCCAGCAATATGGCTACACGAGAGCTTATTGTGGATATCTTGCTCGGTGTGTTCGGTGTAGTGCCAACCATTCATCCTCAGAATGCACCAAATCACGTGATACTCCAGCAAAATGTGTATTATGCTCCGACGACCACCCTGCCAATTACAAAGGTTGCAATGTCTACAGAGAACTCCAACGTCACAAAACACCTAATACAAAAAGTAAATTTTTACATGATACTATAAAGTCTAACTCAAATACTTTAAATGTAAAATCAAGCCACCCATTATTGACTACGACTAATCATAACTCTCCCACTACATATGCACAAGTCACTTCCAATCAATCACTTCAATCATCACTGGTTGCGCCGCTACCGATCCTACAAATATGACGGTTGTCGGTAACGACTTGCGTTTTGTGTTGATCACGGGAGTGCAGGTTAACCACGACAGCACAATCTTTAGGTCGGAAACACGTAAATTTTTATAATAAATAATAATAAATAATAAATTAGCGGGCGCCCAAATAAAACTTAATCGTAAGATCTAATTAACATCAATAATATATTATATACAATAATAAAACCCGCTTTAATCGGCCCACTGACCACGTGTGGCTAAATAATAAAAATTGTGACCTGGTTGCGACTGCACGGCTCTTGAGATGTTAACTGGGTTTCACCATTATGTAGGTCTCGCCGGACAATTTCACGTATATCCTCCGTGAATCAAGGAAAAGCCAAAATTCCCACAAGTGTCCGGACGCGGAGAACCGGAGCGCGTACGTTACGCTCAGTTACACCGCTCGAAAAAGACCAAAAAGGCTCGGCGGCCAACAGCTAAGCTTACGGCCGAGACACATGAGCGGGACCGTGGGAGGAAAGAGTATCCATAAAGATATCGTAACTTATTCCGTGTTCGAACAATCACCCTCACCCACTCCAGATATAACCAAAGTCCTCACATCCTTCATCGGCGAGCTCAAATCACTTGTCAATCCACTAATTTCACTTCTAACACAAGTAATTTCATCTCTTTTAAATAAAAAAAAAATGAATAATAATTCCTACACAAATCAATCATTTTCAATAATATTATTTAATGCAAACGGTTTAAAAAATCATGTTAATGAAGTACAAACTGTGCTATACGACAAACGCATTGACATTACATTAATTACCGAAACGCATTTTACCAAGCACTCTTACATCTCTATTCCTGGTTATAGTTTATTTAAATCTAACCATCCAGATGGTACTGCACACGGCGGAGTAGCTTTAATTATAAAATCCAATTTAAAATTCCATTCATTTACCTGCCATTGCCCCCCCTGAGATTTTCGTGTCACTTACAAAATTGGAAGTTTTATTACATAAAGCTGATCTTGGGTATTCAGTGACTATTTGACAATCCTTGTATCTAACAAGTATCTAACATTTTTTTAATCAACAAATTGATGATTCAATTAATTTATTTGCTTCAAACAACAGGAGATTATCATTACTTTTTGAATAAAATAATAAAATATGATGTGAATTCAATCAAATAAAGTTGTTTTTGGTTTAAACTTTATTATATTTTTTCTTATAAATATTAAAACTAATAGTGTAATTTTATATAAATTTAAATGAGTTTTGATTTTTAAAAAATTATTAATGATAGTATTACAAAATATGAGTAGATGCAATATGTAGCAGTAAATCTTCTTATAAGTATTTAGGTACTTACAATTTTTTTGCCCCTCCTGAGCTACATTTCTGCGGGCGTCCCTGTATAGGATATTAGTGTCAGTTATGCAATATTATACACATGTTACGGCTATATGACATAAGAATCAAAGGTGTAAAAAAGACAATCATTCGTGCCAAAATTAATACCTTATACATTTTACACAAGTATTTAAAATCATTTGAAATTGTCAATAACCGATCAAATATATTATACATAAAAATAAAATAAAATAAATATAATTTTAATGTGTTGTGCTTCGATAAAAAAATATTATCTAAAAATAGATGAGATAGCTGGATTTAAAATTAACTAGATATAGATAGATAAAATCACTTTTATCTAAATATAGATGGATAAAATAATTTTTATCTAGATATTTGCAAGTCTGGGCATTAACGAATTAATAAGTTAAAAGTTAAGTTAATTTAACTTATTAAATTAACTTATTAACTTAACTCATTTCCTTACAAATTAACTTGAAATCAACGTATTATTTTTTTTATTTATGCCAGGGGCATCGTTTCAATTTTAAAAGGGGGGGGGGCATCTGATTAAATTTGCCGACTTCATAATATTTAAAAATTTATGGTTACCAATATATTTAAATATTTAGTATATATTGACGATAGACTAGAGGCGTATTTAGACTTACTTCTAAGGGGGCGACTCAAATTTTTTCTTTAATTCAAGCTCAACATTTATAAGTAAAATGTTTGATAATATTTAAATCAGGTGAATCCTTAATATTTGTGGTTTTTTTTTTTATTCTAATGCCGGATCCTTTTAGAATCGACTTTTGTGTAATTATTTTTAACACCTGTCTGCGTTTGAAAGTTACGCTTGTATTTTATTTGATTTTTCACCAAGTATGGACCCAAAAAAAAGCCCAATTCAGTATTCACAACCACGCGTCATTTGATTTCGTTATAAAATGATCCACATTAAAAAAAATTTGAATAGTGTGTCTCACATAATCAATTTCTTAAATACGTATTCAGGTGCAGAGACGATTGCCCTTTTGCCCCCCCCCCTTAAAATACGCCCATACGATAGACTATCAATAAAATATTTTTTCGGAACAAAACATGTAAGGATTAGTTATGAATAATGATGTCATGATGATAAACAAAGAACATGAAACGTTTCAATTTACCCAATCAAATAATAACATTAATTTATTTACTTGTCCTATAGGCTATGTTACCTATCAATAGGTTTAATGGAATAATAATATAAATCTAATTAAATAAATACTTATAATTTTATATTTGTATATTTAATACTCTAGAGAACTTATTTATAAAAACATAAAATTGTATCTTAAATATAATGTACCGTAGTTTGGGGTGAATAGGAACGATTTTAACGGTTTTTTTTATAGATTAAGAGCTCAATTTTTAATGTATCGATATCACGAAAATTGTTTTATAAATATCACATATATAGAAAAATATAATATACCAAACATAAAGTTTATGAGGTTCGCGTAATAACGATTGTCATAAACCAGGGAGCAGGGCCGTATTAGCGCATAGGTATATAGGCACTGTTCCCTGGGTCTACGAAAATGTGCGGCTACGATTTTTTTGTAGTATGCAAATTGGTATGAAAATTTTTTTTTAATGGTTTTTGTCAATTTATATTATAAGTAGGTTAGGTATAAATTATTAATTAAAGCACATACTTATAAAAAATTATTAACTCTTCACAAATTACTAACATCAGACATAAAATTTTATTTTTTACAATTCAAGTTTAATAATAAAAAAATTGTGTATGGTGAAAAATATTACATGTGATTCAAGAAAAAAATGATCAAGTCACCATGGGTTTATTATTGGGCTAACCTCAGTTTAAAGAACAATGAAAGTCAATAGATTTAGGTATATTATTTCTTATCTTTAGCATATTAATCACATAACACAACAGTTGATTTTAATATAATAACAAAGAAAAATAGTTTTGTTAAATCATAATACAAACATATTAAATACAAGATGCATAAGTATTACATTATAGTTTATAAAGATATAAAAAGTAATTAAACACTTATACTATAATGTTTCTTCAAAATTTGTTAAAGGTTTAAATTGATTATTAGTTTGCTGTACGTCGGTATGGATTGAAATTATATGTCTTCCCGGTATCATTACTAAGCCCAAAAGTCGGTACTCTCCGGTTTCTAAATCTAAATATAATAACGAAAAAAATTATTTAATAACCATATAGGTTTTCCAAAGAAGCTTACCTTTTTCATTGAAATATTCATAACATGTACTCAGTATAATGTGAGCATCTTTATCAGTACAGACAAATGTCCCAACCAAAATGCGACCATCCATTAGATGAACTTTCATTTGTTGATTCAACCAAGATAATAGTTTTTGTCTTCCTTCAGAGTATTCTCTTTCAGGCTAGAATAAAATAAGATATTCTACTTAAATTTAATAAATAGAAGTCTAAACAATTGTACATGTAATGACTACAGTATTATTTTTCATAGTCTTACGTCAACACAAGACACTGAAAAGTAGTTAAGTATAACAAAGTACATATTTCATGGCATATTATACATGGTAATGATTTATGATTAACTCACCACAAAGCTGAATGATGAAGATTTTTGAAGATTTTGATTTCCTGTTTCCATTCCAAAAGCTAACCGATCACCCTTTTAAAATGTTGTAAATAGAACCAACTGCTAGTTAATAAGTGAATAGAAGCAGTCTACGAACTGTACACTTCGAGTAGCATTAATAAATACAACATAAAATAATCAACAAACTTTGCTGCTCTTAAAAAAACTGAACTTAAATGTTTATTAAAATTGATTTAAATTTAATTTATTTACCATAAATGTTTAGGTAGAGAAATAAAGAACAATAGAGATTATGCAAATTTTCTGTCAATCTTTCCAAATGTTATTTTATATTTGATGTTGCTCATAACTTATCAAACGTGTTATCATCGAGTACCGTTGTGCTCATACCACAGATCATGTTAAGCCCATTAGGACAATATTTATAAAGTGATAAAGTAGTTATACGGATTATGATAACGTATAAATATTTAAATTTTTATTCAACACGACTGATGTGAAGTTTTGTTTAATCTACGATATCTGTACAACTGTACTTTTACTACCGATTATGAATTACTAAATATTATATACATTTGTTTTATTTTTGTTTTAATTATCCCTTATTGTTAATTTATTAATAATGGTAAATAAATGTGTAGTTCAGGGTTGTAAGACTACTACTGTCAAAGGATAAAAAGTGCATGTGTAAATATTACATATTATTATTAGGCTATATTCTTAATTTCTTAAAAATGTATTTTTTTTTATTTTTTATTAGGATACCCAAAGTTAATATTGGTCAGTTATGGATCCAGGCTATAAAATAGTATCAGCCAAATGTTGTGCCAAAATCTCGGTAAATTGTGTGTAATTTGCATTTTTTAAATTCAATCACAATCATAATATTGTTGGCGAAAAATTAATGCTCAATAAGTTTGCTGTAACAAATATTTTGAAGCCATTAGTGAAAATAATGATTTGTTATAGTGTTATAGACTTTCATATACCACATGTAATATTACACTTGAATTCAAGTAATAGTTAATTAGTATGTATGTGGTAGTAATCATAACCCTATTTCTAGATATCACCAAAACAACAGGTGTGGCACCCTATGACATCAATTAAACCATATAAAAGAAAGATGAAAATTACCATAATTAAGATTAATTCTAGTCATGGAACTGCAAGCAACTTCACGTCAATTTGTATCAGATTTGTTTAACACTGAATTATTTAATTAACGTATTATAAAAAGTTTAAGTCTCTTATTTAATTGAAAATTATACATCATCAACTGCTCAATTGAAATCGAACTGGTGGCACTTAATAAGAGGAAACTATAGTAACACTGAATAATTTGCCTTCAACTAGTAGTAAGTACATTATTTAATTTTATCTGTTACTAATGCAATACCTATATAAGTAAATTAACTAAAAGTTTTTTTTATAAAATAGGTTCCTGATCATGTTTGTTTCCATTATCAATTGAAAATTCCGGCAAGGAATATGAAGTTTCATTATCTGAAAAACTGTCATGGTATTTAATTTAGAATTTTTAAAATCATGAATTATTCTTAAGATAATTTTAATAAAATAATTATTAATATATTATATATTATTAATGTATTCAATATTAATATACTTACACATTTTAAGACTTCTAATATCGTTTCAGAAAAAGAAAAAGTTACATACATGTGGGATACTAGGTGAAATAATTATTAACGCGGATTAAGAAATAATATAACAATGTATTAATATACTAAATAGCAAACAACAAAATAATAAAACAACGCAAAACACAAGTTCACACGCACGGGTGCACGGCACGGTCAACACTATGGCCATCGTTGCTAACAATATAACAAAATAAATAATAAATAATAATAATAATTAATCATAGGTCTGGAGGGGAGGGCTTGCTGTCATGGAAGAAACCCCACATACATGATTTTGTGGAAGATGACTTGAATAGTCCAAATAAATGTAACATTTATTGGTATAAAAATCAACTGGTATTTAAACAAAAACAATTGAAAATAAAGAAACTGCGCAGTACCAATCAAAATTTGGAAAAGAGATTGGAAACTATGGAACATTTGATGGACTATTTAAAAAATAAAAAATAAATATCAGATGCTTAATACATATGCTTAAGTTAAATATTTTTAGTTTTCTTGATTTATTTTGTTAATGCTAATAATACTTTTATTATTGTGTTACGTGCCACCGGCTCGATTCCAAGTAGTCTAGTTGATGATGTATTTAAATTTCATTAATAAGATATAAGACTTTAACTTTTATACATTTATTTTAATATTCAAAGTGTTTAATAAATTTTAACATAGTGTGACGTGAAGTTGCTTGGAGTTCCGTGACTAGAACTCATCTGAATTGTGGTCATTTCGGTTCTTCTTTTATATTGCTCGATTGACGTCATAGAACATGTTGTTTATTATTTATTTAATCTATAACATATTTATATAATATAGATTGACCTACGACTTTGTTCTAAAAAGTTCTATATAACAACCTGCTGTCTTACACAATTCATAAAAAGTTGTGTTACGTACAATTTCTATTTATACATGGTTATGTCATATATGGTAGCTCATAACAATTTAATGTATTGCATGTGCATTATTAGTCCAAATAGTATTGAACAATTACTAAAATCATTAATATGTATTAAAAATATAGGTTAAAGTAACTATCTAAAAATATGAAAATTTGTAAAATTACAAAATCTACATATAAATCTAATATTGGATAAATATAAAAACAATTATATGTAATTCAATATTTAATTATAAAATCAGTCTCCATTAAACAACCATCTTTTACAAATTGTAAATTTAATTTTCGAAACATATCTGACAATAAGATTACACCACTTTAATAAAACTAATAATAAATCAATACTTAGAATAAAGTAATTTTTACATAAATACATTTTGAAATCAATAATAATTGAATTACTTACATTGTATTTGTTTTTTTGGAAAATATAATATATACTTTATTGGACTTGTGAATAAGTGTGTTATAATTTTAAATTTTGACTTGATTAGTACTATATTCTATGATACCTAGTTTGTAAGAGTATAATATTTAGTTTATTTATTTTAATTTTTTTTAAATATTAATGTATAATTTTTAATTTATGAAATTGACTAACTCATGACAAAATATATTCTCATGTATTAACTTATATAAGAAATGTACCTATTTACAATTATTGTTCTATACAAAAAAAAAACATGCACTACTATGCTAAATTTATTTTTGCTTTTATATAAAATTGTATTTTTAAAATTTTTCTTCGTAGTGATGGTATTAAGTTCTGTTAGACCTAAGTTTTTTTTTTTTTTAAATATATTATTATTTTCAATTTTTGAATTAATCTATTGCCTTCATAATAAAGAATATATGTTTATATTTATTATTATTATGTTAAATTGGTTCATGCAGATAGTTAATTTATAAATTGAATTACTTACCACATTGTAGTTTGCTTAAAATTTGTATTATGTATCTGCTAAATTTTGAATTTAAAACCATTTTTAAAGTACTCAAATTGAGTTACTAGTGGAAATGTCAATATTTTATTAGGTCCAGCACATGTGATCATTTATGTATAAAATACTGAAAACTGGCAAAATATATTTGATAAAATGGTATTCCTATAAAATAGATTTATCCATAGATACATACAGATAAAATATTATTTTAATTACAAATTATACCACTATGTAAATATTTTTTGTCAATGATCTAATTTAAAAATTATAATGAAATTATAAATTTATAAATTATTTGTCTTTTCCATTATTAGAATAATTTTATTTCCAGGCAAGGTGTAATTTTAGTCGGTTTTTCTCACTAGATGTTGAAATTTCAACATTTACAGTAAAGGGTAGGGAACGTGCAGTCCATATCTTTATAAGTATGTCTATGTTCTCTATGTTACACTTAAAATATATAATAAAGAATATTAAATACATTTTTATAAGTGTATAAGAAGATAGGTATTATTCTATTACCATCATATGCAGCTTTAATTATCTTAAACTCATGCGTTATATTTAGACCCGATTATAAAACAATAATATTAGGAAATTGTTGAATGCAAAAGTTAAAGGTACTCTAACCCCTATCTAGGCTATATATAAACCAAATATTGTAATCGTTTGCTATTGAAAAAGATACATTTTTAGAAGAATATATTCACCTGGATATTCTTATAAAAGATAACAACGGTTTCAAATATTATCTATTCTGTGGTTTCACTTGAGTGTACGTCCACTACTAGGGATGTCAAAAAAACATTTATGTTTTAAACTAAAAAATCGATGTTCAATATCGATGTTTAAATTTCGATATTATGCATCGATGTGTCACGTTTACCGATGTTTTAATTTCAATGTTTGCTTTATCTCCGATATTCAAGGATATTTTAATATAAATTAATTAAAATAAATTAAATATGTAAATTAATTTTTATTATATTTTTAAAATTTTTCATTTGCAAACAATAAAGTATAAATATACCTACGTATAATTATAATTTAATATTAACTTGGTTAATAAAACAAGTCAGGATGACTATATCATGATCTTAATTCATAATAATATACGAGTAATCTTATCGCTAAAAAAATAATATAATAGCCTTATATTTCTATAATACCAAATTATAGAAATAAACTAAACTATTTCCCAAAAATAAATAAATGAAACCGGTAATGTGGAAAATCGGTATCAAAATTGATTTTTTTAAACAACTTGGTCGATCTATTTTTGCTTCGATATGAATGACAAACATTGGTTTCAATTTAAAATAATATATAAAAATGTTGTTATAACTTACGAGTTTATTGTGATTATATTTGACTGTGAACTGTATTCCTTTAATTTTAATTTAATTTTTATACACAATGTTTTTTTTTAATCTTTCTAATAAATAAGTAAATAAATTGAGTTGATTATGTATGTTTAAATTTTTAATGATTATAATTAATTTAGCTTGTGGTCTATGGAAAATAATAATAATTTTTTCCTATAAAATGTATGTTTGTTTTTTTAAAAACATCGATGTTTTTTCCTATACATCGAGTTCTTGACTTCGATGGTTTTTTAAATTATCGATATTGTCACCATCGATGTTTTGTAATAAATAACTCGATACTTTGATTTTCATAAATAATCCCTATTATCTACTAGTAAAATCTAGTATCAATACTATCATGAACCCACGAGTTTCTAATTTTCTATTATTTATGTTTCGACTTGCGTTTCAATTTTGTCAAACATTTTCATTCATATTGTTCCTGTAGCATTGAGAGTCGAAATCAACGAGTTTTCAGGATCACACATCTTGTATGTGAAAAGTATAAAGTTTGTACTATAAATTATTTTGCCGGGGGAGTTTTACGGTTTTACTTGGTAAATACGCTTATTAAAACTATCGGTGTATTAATTAGAATGAGCAGCAAAGAGGAATTTTTATCCAAATCTCAACGCACTCAATGTTGGTCTTCTCGTGATAATTTTTGGGAATGTTTGCGCTGCAACAATGACAAAGTGGAAAAGTGTTCGGATCTGCGGGAAAACTATGAAAAAGCTTGTCCTATTCAATGGGTAAATTGATTTTTTTAAATATATTTAACTGAAAAAGATACCATTTATTTTTAATTATATGTTTGAAGTACTTATTATATTTTACAGGTAAAACATTTTGATAGAAAATATAATTATTTGAAGTTTAAAGAAAAAATGGAAAAAGAAGGTTATGAGCCTTTAAATGAAAAATGATGTAATAATTAATATTTATTGTACAATGATGATTTTAGTTTAATTGGTAGGTAAAATAGTACTTGTTAACAATTTATAAGGAATCAATAATGTTTTCTATTTATAAATGATAATGTGTTTAAAATTATTTAAATTGTAATTTCAAAATTAACACAATTCTACAAAGATTAAATATTGTTAAATTTATGATTCTTAAAAAATATAATGTTTAACTGATTCATATTTATTTAAGTTATTTGTTACTTGTCATTTACTTTTGTAAAGTATTTTATTATAAATATATTGGGTTTTAAATGTAAATTTTTTTAGCATTTATACTTTCATTTAAAATAATATTATTTTTTCAGTTAAATATAATACTTCTCTTCAGATATGTTGGCATCCGAAGAATTACTTAAACAATTTAGTGTGGAAGTAATTGAAAAAATTCTTCATTATGATCATACTTATTTAAATGTAAGTATGTATAAAATACAAAGATTGAATAACATTAATATTACATACATACATTGTATACATTGAACATTTTTTATTTTATTCAAATATTGTCAGTTTATATCAATTTATTAATTTTGTTGTAATGTTTAATTTTATTTATTTTTATATTAAGAACATAAAATAAACAAAATTAAAACTTCTTTTGCATAATTAGTTTTATTGACTTTAATTTAAAAGAAAAAAAAAGTGGTTTATCTAGATAATTAGTATTCAAATATATTTTGAAACAATCCAAAATATAAATTTAATTATTAGTTATTATAACTTTACTCTATTTAAATGTTAAACAGAAAATTTACATTTAATACAATTTTTATTAGCATATGTTATTTATATATATATATATGTAATATATATATTTTATTTTGCATATGACATTTAATAAAATGTCTTTTATTTTTTTCTATTTATTTATAATAATTTTTAATTACTGATCATAAAAATACTATTGACTATTAATAACTATCAAATTTTCATATACTTAACCTAAACTATAATTTATTTACAGTTACAGTTTAAATATGTATAAATCAACTGGTAAACAATAATTTTTTTTTTTTAATTATATGTTATTATTGTTTTCAGAATTTTAATAGTTTTCTTCATACAATTATTAATAATAATGAAGAAGTTTGTATGAAAAATCAAAAATGTCTAGATATTTTCAAAAAAATTCATCTTCAACTTATAGACATAATTGTATACAAAAAACATTCACAGGACTACCAAAGTTTAATTCCTCAAATTGTTTTTCAAACATTTTATTTAAGTCAGCAACATATAAAAAATCCAAGTAGCGATTTAGAAGAATCAAAATGGATTTTACCTGTGAAAATAGGTGAAATTGATAGTAATGATATTCATACCATCCATTTTGTTAGTCTTGGAGAAAAATTGCAATTGCCATCTGAAAAATATGATCAATACTGTTTGCAAATTCATATAGGTGCTATTAAATGTTTGCAGTTTGAAAAACAATTATATTTTATAACTGACTCAATTGAAAATATTTGTGAAATGTGTTTTCGGCATACTGAAGTAAATTTAGAAGCTTTGAAATATTTAACAGATTGTGTATCTGTTATGACAAAAGAACAATGGATAGTCTTGTCAAAATTTGTTTATAAGGTTTTAATGGGTCAAATGAATCATCATTTACCAACAATTCATGATCAATGTGTTCTACTTTTCAATAAATGTTTAGACCTTGAAGATGTAAATTATATATTAAATATAGTAATGACGGAAATTTCATGGTCTCTACGGATTAAGTTTTATATGTTGACTGTTATTGCTTCAAAATATGGTGTTAAAAAGGTATTTTAATACTTTCCGATTCAAAAATAGCACATCAGTTTTTACATTATATTACCTATCTGTTTTTTTTTTAGATTTTAGAAAAATATGATGTTTTATCTATTTCAATGTGGAAATGTTTAAACGAACCATATTTGCTATCTCCTTGTATTGGACTGTACAAAATATTCATTAAAGATTTAAGTGAAGACGATTTTTCTCATATAGTTATGCAACCGATTATTCATTATCTGACTTCTAGTAATAACATTTCTGAGTAAGTATTATCATTTAATGTATTTTTCATATGTATTCTCCATTAAGTGTATTTAAATAGTTTAGATAAATTAAAGTTCAGTATTTTTGAAACAATTGAAATTTAAACTTAAATTAGATATGACTATAAGACTATATATAAAATTAAAATATATTTAGTTTTTTAATGATTGTAAAAGTATAAAATATAATAATTACTTGATTTTTTAAAAAAATTATGTATACTTACATTTAATGTTATAATCAAGTTCTTTTTATGTTGTAGATTAACAAAATATAATTTTGTGACATATCTTTTACCTGAAATGAGATCTAAACATATTGGTAGCTTATTGATTTTGCATGAAAAAATGAATATTCAATCAAAATCAGATTTATATCTTCAAATATCTATATTGAAAATGATATATAACCATAATGTTGAAATTGAAAACTATCAAGAAATACTTAACTTATCTCTGGAGTCTGGTGATACTAAAATAAGATCTGAAGCTTATACTATATTATGTTGCTCAAAGATAACACATGATGTACTTGACTTAATTTATAATTTTATTACAGACAATATAAATAGCGATAGTCTCACACTAAGATTGAAATTAATTTCTGGATTAGAAATTATGTTACGTAAATATAGAAAACTTGATGATTTAATGTTTCAATTTTTTGATAGACTGCATGAATTTATCTTAAAAAATTTAATACCAGGTTCAAATTACCAACGTAAAATTACATCATTAAAAATATATTCAATTCTACTAAAATTTTATCAAAACCAAGATTATGTTTCTAGTTCATGTAGACATTTATTACTGACAAATCTGTTGGACTCTGAAGATATTAGAAAAAAATGTAGTGAAATACTAGTGTCATATTTTATCGTTACAAAACAAGACAGAACATATTTAAATAATTGGATGAAACTGGGTTTAAACTTGTGTTATGATCCTTTATTTTATAAAAATGAAAGTGGTTCAACAATAATCTATACAGTTACTACATTGGTCTATAAATCTAGGCTTAAAATAGAAATATTTGACATCAGTGAATCATCTGTATCTGCATATATACTAAATTTAGCACAAAAACAAGAAACTCTACTAAAAGATCATTTTGTTAAAAACGTGATAAATGGTACTCTTTATGGTCTGTTAGATACATTAAATAATTTATCATTTGAAAAAAATTCTCCTGAAAAAAACAAGTTGAGTATAATCGAGATTGAAACAATGTTAAATTTAATAAAAAACAATTTGAACCTTTTGTTGGATACACTAGCTTCTAGAATGAACTCTGAAGGTAATTATTATTTGTTATCTAATCATAAACCTATCAATGTTTTAATTTTTCTACATTTATTTTAGGAAAAACTGAAGCACCTTCTTTTGCTCAAATGGATATTGCACTAAGTAGTTTACGTAATTCAAACCAAAATGATATGCCAATGTTACCAACAAATCAGTTTCTTTTAAATTTTATTTGGATAAATATTAAGGTTTTATATGAGTAGTTACCTATCTGTTTTATGTTATTTTAATAATAATTGGTTATTATAGATTTGTTGTGATGTTGCAAGCAAATATGCAGTTATGTTGGCGGTTAGCAATATAACTGACAAACAATATCAAAATACTCAAATTAAACTATGTGCGGATATGATTGCAGACGTGTTAATTAGATGTAGACACAAAGGAGCCATGGAAGCTACTTGCAGATTTTTAGGAGTAATAATAAAACATTGGAAAGAATCTTATATTTGGTGTCAAACCATGCTTACAGACTATATAAGTTGTATGAAACCTGAAAATGAAATATCCAGAAGATCAGCTGGAATAAGATACCTTATACATGCAATTGTAACAAATAACAAGGTAAATTTAGACATTTTTACTATTTGTAAAGTATGTATTATAATATTATGTATATTACAAGGACTTGACATTTTACAATTTTAACTATTATTTTGTGTAACAATTTTTGTGAAAAATTCTAGATCATATATATATTATTTTGTTTCATCTTAATATAACTCTGAAAACGCTGCAGAATAACAAAAATTATAAAATTAAAGAAGGATCATGAATTTGTATTGTTAATTTTACAACATGTTAATTATTTATGTTATGTATTTTTCAGAACACAGTAAAAGATTGTATTACACAATTATTCAATATAGCTAAAGGAAATTTATGTACTGATATTGATTCAATAGTGGATTTACCTCAAGCTAGAGCACAACATTTACTAACTGTAATTGTCTCGAATGCATCAATTTCCACAGAATGTTTGTACCCTTTTATGGAAGATTTAATAATGCTTTGCATCGATAATCTGAATTCTCCGCTTTGGACAATTAGGTTGAATAAATATTTAACCTAGGCCTGTTTATTTTTGTTATTTATCTAAACCATAAAATGTGTTTCAGGAATGCTGCTCTTCAGTTTTTCGGTTCACTTCAAGTGAGACTCATTGGTCAAAATCGTTTAAACAATCATTTTTGGCTGTCTCATTTACCACTTGAACCTTTACTATACTATTTTCCTCGTTTGATGCAACGCTTACAGCTTTTATGGTCGCAGACAAATAATAAACTTCCAAGTCAAGCTCGGTTAATTCCGTTTTTGTCTCTACTGAAAGCCATTAAACTGCAGTCATGGACTTTGTTGCCACTAGAAAATCAACAGTTCTTAAAAAATCTTCGTTGTCATTTGTGGTCTACTGGTTTTGCCCTCGAAATATATACAGTCAGAAATATGGCTGCCCAAGCCTATGTTAACACAATACAAGTCAATAAAATAACATCTACTTTAGATAAAATTAGTAACGAAATAATCAAATACAATAGAGGAATTAGTTTTTCAGAATTCAAAAGTTCTAATCATTTACACGGATTAATGTCATCATATAAGTATTTAAAAAATATTTATTTAATGGAATTCAACCAAGAATGTCATGTTTTCAATCTAGCCCATGAAGATTTGCCCCCATTATGTAAATCAATGTACATTTCAATGAATTGTAAAGTATTGGGTCCATTTCCTTCAGAATCGATGATCGGCCACAATCAAGTTAAATGTTTAATGATAGAAAATACCATAACGCAATCATCAAACTTATTAGGCTTAATAGAGTGCTATATGAATGGAGACCAGCACACTGCAATTAGTTTTTTGAAATGTTTTAAAAACTGCAATATAAATAATAATAAAGTTGTTATTGATAAATTTATTCATTATCTTAATGTCGATGACAGAGGTATATTTAAAGAGATCATGATGAACATTGATGTAATGCTTGATGCTCAATTTGGAGAATTGGTCAAACTTGAAATAGCAACTGATTTTTTTTCTATGATACTAAAAAGATGTACATCATACTCAGAAAAAGATTTTATTGCTATGTTACCTGTTCTCAGTTGGTTCTGTCCTAGTGAAGCTCGTTTGACTTTGTTACCATTTGTGTGTAAATATATTGATTGTAATTTGTATGATTCGTATGATAGGTGTAGATCTTCAAAATCATTATATTATTTCACAGACCTGAAAGATGACATGAGGGTTTGGAATGCAGTTGTTGAATTATTACAAGATGAAGACACTGATGTACGAGTTCAGATGACAAAATTTGTGAATCGTATTTGCTTCAACCGTTCCTCCATACTAAATCCATATATGTGTTTAAAGAAAATGTTTGAAATGAAAATAGTATGCTCAATGATGAACACACAATTTGCATTCACATGTTATTGGAACCTGTTGTCCAATATTAAACTACGCATTGAATATGATGAAATAATCAATCCTTTTTTTAATGAACAGTCTAATGTATATCAAGAACAATCTAATATCATGAAATTAGCATTTGAAGGCCTCAAAAGTTTGATATGTTCAAGCAACAATCTCAGTTATTATAGAGAAGTTGTTCAAACATACCTTAGCTCACTGAGAAAAGAATGTGAATTTAAAGGAACATTTATTGACGACAGTTTAATGGTTTTAGATACGTATTCTAATCTACATTTTTTAAAGCTGTATTACAAAAGAGAAATTTTAATTCTATTAAATTTCAATGACGATTTAAACATATTTTTTCCAATATTGGGGCTTATTCATATACCTACTAAATTTTTATAATATGACTTAATATTTTGTATAAAATACTATTAAAATGTGTTGAAAATAAATTATAAAATATATTATTATTATTTATTGTTCTTTATTAATAAGTTATAATTAATCTGTACTATTGGGTTTCAGTATGTTTTTATTCACATAAATTTTAAAATACTATTATTATAATAATGTGGTTCCTTAATGTTCATTAATTGGATTCCAATTATTAGATATATTTTTTGAATAAATCACTAAATTGGTCTATAAATTATAAAGAAATATATTCGCAAATAAAATAACTTTATGTTGATCACTATTAGATGTTGATTTTGATAAAATTTGAATTCAAATTCAGAGTAAAAAAAGATTCTTAATGATGGAAAATATCAATGCCACATTCATTGATAGACTTATGAAAATTTGTGAAAAAGTAAAAGGTATTGATTTGAGCATTCTACTAAGAGGATTACAATACATTCACTTACAGGCTAGAGATCAGCACGGGCCGTTTTTTTTCAGCCCGATTCGGCCCAAAACTTAAACTTATAAATTGTCATCTTCCAGGCCCGGTCCATATTTTATTTTTTTAAGTCTAGTCCGACCAGGCCCATTAGTAATTTTTTTTTCAAAGTCCAACCCAACCATGCCCGTTTGTAAATAAAAATATACATCAACTGTATTTCCTTTCAGTATTGACTTAGCAGACAAAAACATTTCATAAAAACAATAAATGTATTACAAAAAAAAAAAAAAATATGCTAGATTTTATTAAAATTTAAATATAAAATTATTTATAGATATAGAATACATAATGCTACAAATCAAATTAATTAGTTTTGGTTTGACTGACCCGGCTCAATGAATAATATTACAATCTCACCTATAACCAACTCGTAATATTTAAATTATGGCCTGGCCCTGACCAAGCCCGGTGTGGGTCGGGCTAGCCCGGCCTGTACTGATCTCTATTACAGACATAGTAAAAATTAAAAATAAGAATACAAGATAAATACATACTCTGAAAGTTCATAACTGGTAAATTCTTATAGATCACAAATAGTTTCCTCATATCTTAATCGAATTATTGCAAATCACATACTGAACATACAAATTAAAGTTTTATTAAGAATTTAAGTAAAAAATTAATATTTTGAACAAAAAAAAAAAAATTACCTGATGATTAATTTTTCTAGTTAACAGTTAAAATTATTATAAAGCTATAGTATATTTAAAAAGTTAAATTATATATATATAAAAATTAATTATTTATTTATTAAATTAAACTTATACCATTTAACTAATGAATGATAAAATACAATTAAAAAATATTCAAATTACTGATAATCTGAAAAGATTAAGATATTAAATTTGAACCATCAAGTTCATTAAGCTGAATTTCAAAAAAGTTAATAATATTACTCAGTAATACACAGTATGAAAGTAAAATCTCATTTATTTATAAATACCAAGATTTTTAATGTACATTTACAAGAAAAAACTGTACTTTATAGTAACAGTGCAAGTAATATAGAAATATATAATATAATAAATAAGTATAATCAACAATTTTTATTTTAATTGCAATATTAAACAATTTGAATAAAATTAATAAAAAACAAAAAAAAACAAAATGTAAACAAATTTAAAATATAAATGTATGTAAGTATGCATTCAAATTAAATATGAACAATTATAAATAGAGTGCATTAAATCTGAAAAGCTCAAAAAATGACTAGACTGTGAAATTTAATTTCAATACTATTGGCACTTTAAAGTCATAATTACAATATATAAAATGGAAATAAATTCAAGTTTTCAATTTAGCTTTACAAGTAGATTAATGTAATAATAAATTTATTTTGATTTAATTTTACTAAGAAATATTTGTATATAAATACATTAATAGTTTTAAAAAATTATTTTTTAATTTTGAAATAATTAAACTGACTTAAATAAAAAAACAATTACATATAATTCTTAAATAATGAAAAATTAATAAAATTAAATCAAACTCCTAGTAAATTAAAACAATACATTTATTCTTATTTATTTTTCATTGAACTGCCATACATTTCTTAATAAAATAATAAAAATATTGCATAAACATCAACAAAAAAACAAATTAAAATACTATTATTTTATTATTTTTATTTCATCTATTCAGCGCCAACAGTAATTACACAAATTATTTCAATTGACATTCATCAACACAGAAAAAGATTTCTCCATCAGCACTGTTCGTTAATTTTTTTTAACGATACTTTCAAAATAGATAAAAAATAAAATACATAGATATGATACAACTAATTAAGAATATGATAACATAACAATATTTATCAATTTGTATAATACATATTTGTATGCAGCTTGTCACATATATGTATTTATATTTGATAATAAATTAATAAAAAATATAAATATATTAATTTGTAAATAAATTATACTCATATTTTTAAATTTGGAAGATATACAGTGCTAATGTTTAGAAAAAAAAATTATGAGAACAAATGTTATAATACAATGACTTAATGAGTGTATAACACTGGAAGATTACAAAAAATTGAATATTTAAGGGAAATTAAATTATTTATATAATTGTTGTGTATTATTTCAATTTTGAATCTACTGTATATATTAACATGTTTTAATGAAACTTACAACTTACACATCAACAACCATTTTTTTGTGTATATCTGTGTTACCAACAACAGAGCAGAATTCTTCAAAATTAATCTTACCATCTTCATCTTTATCAGCAAACAATATAGTTTTATCAACAATTTGTTGAAGTTGAGTGTCCTTTAAATTATTACCCACCATCATTTTCAAAACCTGAAAACAAATTAAATTAACAAATAATTATTTAAACTGAAAAGATTTTTAGACATAAAGAAAAATCAAAATATTTTGGTTATACTAATAAATTAAATATTAATAATAGAGCAACGTTTAAATTGGAATTTTTTAGAAATAAATTACATCTGCTATGTAAAAATTCATCAATTAAAACAAAATGAAAAATTATTTAAAATGTTAAGTTATAAATGTTAAATAGTAAATATAAAATTGTTATTTATTATTTATAATTTAATTTATTTTTGAAAAGGAATAAAAATCTAATGTAAAATGTATTATTAAGTTATATATATATTTATTACATGCGTTATTATACAATATAGTATTAGTGCAATCATTGAAATATTATTATATCAACAAAATTTTGTGACTAATTCATAGCTGTATAATAATTAGTACTTGCCATATGCAAAAAAAAAAAAAAAAAATTAGTACTTAGTTGCGTTTTTGATATCAATATGAACGTATTTTTTAATACATGTTAATTTCAAGATATATGTATTTAATCAGTAAAAACAAAATTATTTTAATTTAATTTATAATTATAATTTCATAAAAATAAAATTCCTCCCTCTGAATAGTAAAAAAAATGTCAGTGACCAACAGTGTCCAATATTTGGAGATTTTTTTTGTATTTATTCAGAGATCACATAATAGCAAAAATTGTATTCAACCAAGCTAACATATGTGATATTCAAAAATCAATAAATATATTATTTCCCAAGCTTTATGAATAAGAAGTGAAGCACAAAATATACATACTTGAAACAATTCTCCATTTGATATGTATCCATCATTATCCATGTCATAGATTCTGAATGCAAAGCGTAACTTAGATTCTTTGTCACCCTTAACACTGAACTGAGAAACTCCTTGTATAAATTCTAAGGAAGAAAATTATGTAATTAAATATGGTTTAATGTAAGCAGCATTTAAATCAATTTCATTACCTTTGAAGTCTACTTCACCATTGCCGTCTTCATCAAATATGTCTATAACTCTCTGCACTAGTGGATTCTGTTGGAGTTCGGGCAGCGATAGAAATTCGTCCAAACTCAAAGCACCAGAGTTGTCGAGGTCAAGTTTACGGAACCGTTTGCCCAAGCGCCTGATCTCATCAGCATCGACTGATGGTGATGGAAAAAAAATAAATCACGTAGAGCAGAATACAGGGTCAATAAGGGCAATACTTACAGTTGGAGCAGAGTTCCATCGGTAGCGAGTTTTCGTTTCCCTGTTAAAGACAAAACGGGGAATGTAACAGAAAATAACAAAAGAATTACAAAATTGGAGTGTTTCAAACTTGTGGCCCGCCATAAGAGACGCCACAGCATTATTTTACGTACCATGGTCGACGATCGGATGACAGCTAGCTGAGCGGGACACGAACGACGGCTGCAACGAGTGGGCAGTTAGGTGCAGTGTGAACGGGACGGCGCAAAATGATGGGGGCGTTACGAGTGGATTACTTGCGTTTCCACTGACGGCTGAGTCGCGAGCGGCCTGCACTGCAATGTTTTGAGTTATTTGTGTACAAGAAAAAGGTGAGCGAGGGGGAGGGAACTTTAATTTTCCTTCGCTTTCCTCAGAGGAATTCCTACACATACGCACACACACACACACATACACACACAAACGAGTATCGACGGGATATCGATTCGATGATAGCGGGTGGCGATCAGCTGCTTCGGTAACCGGTGGGGTTAGCCGAGCTACCGCGAACCGCGGTCGAATGCGGTAACTGAGCGTCCCCGTCCCACGACGAACTCGTCGCACCATCCGCCGCTGGGTGCACCACCGGTACCGCGGTCGGCCACGTCCAACTCCGACTCCCACCCTCCGCCGACGCTCCGTAACCGACCGACAAACGCCGTGTGCGTGTTTTGCTTCTCTCTTTTATCTCCGCACGGTCATCGCGCACGTAACTCCGTTAACAAACGCACTTACGCACGCACACCGTACTTCGTTTTCTTTCTCCCCGCAGCACTGCAAACAATGGCATCAGGCGTAAGTGCACGCTCCGTATCCGGGTTTATCCCGGCCATCCCGTTGTCATTGCTGTCACCGCTGTTGTTTTTCAGACGCTGTACACGTACTCGAACAACTCCCGGGCCTACAAGGCGCTGATAGCGGCTCAGTACAGCGGTGCTGACGTAAAGGTCGATCCGGCCTTCGAGTTCGGCGTCACCAACAAAGATGAGACGTTCCTGAAGAAGTTCCCGCTAGGGAAGGTGAGTGACGGCGATCGGTGACAATTGAAACGCGACTGCGTACTAACGAACGTTCTTCTCTTCTGTTGTCTAGGTGCCCGCTTTCGAGTCCAACAAGAAGGAATATTTGACCGAAAGCAATGCCATCGCTTACTTCGGTAGGTCAGCTTCCGTCTTCTCTAGAATCCTAGAATACTTTAACACCAATGAATCATATTAAATAGTATCCTCTCTTCTGAGATAACAGATACAAGTATCTGTTAGTAAATTTGTCTTCGACTATCAGTGTTTATTAATTTACTTAAATTACTGTTGTGTATGTAATATTCAAACAGTTTTTACCTATTATTGATGAATAATAAGTAGATAAATTGTTTTCGCTAGTATTCTATAAATATATTTGATAAAATATTTTCTTTGTACATTTCATATTCAATAAACTACCTTGTTTGTTTTTTGTCACAAATTTGTTTTTAAGTCTTAGTAACACATTTTAGAATCTAAATCTGATGTTTCATTTTATTTATTTTTTATGTGTATGTACTTAAATATATATGTAATCATACATATTCTATACTTGATATTAATAAATAACTAAAAATGTATTTTGTTTTTAGTGTCCAATGAGCAACTTAAAGGTTCAACTCCATATGAAAAAGCACTTGTGCAGCAATTCATCAGCTATGCTGACAATGAAATATTGCCTGCTTCCCATGCTTGGGTCTATCCTTCTCTTAGTGTTGCTCAATTCAACAAATTGGTAATGTCTTAGAATATTTGAGTACTTAAAAATTCTAATGATAATATTACTATCTATTTTCCTCTAATTTTTTATAGTCTGTCGAAAGAGCAATTGAAGATGTCAAAGGAATTTTTACATACTTAAACAACTATTTATTAACAAGAACTTACTTGGTTGGTGAACGTATTACTTTAGCTGATATCTCAGTTGCCTGTTCGTTGCTTCAACTATATCAACATGTTATAAACCCAGAATTCAGGTAACAAAATATTGAATTTTATGTTATTCTATATAACCTCAGTCAAAGGCATATTATTCGTTTTAAAATCGTTTAATATGTAACAAAACGAGGAATATTGATGCATATTACAAAGTATTGATCTGATAATTTGTTATTGTTTATTAGATGGGCCTATGTAATCAACATTTAATTTTATTATAATATATTCATTATTTTATAATTATGTTTAACATTTGACTATAATATTTCATTTTATATTTCAGACAACCATACGTCAATGTCAATAGATGGTTTGATACAATTGTCAACCAACCAAAAGTAGTTAAAGTCATTGGAAAGTTTGAGTACTGTGTTAAGAGTGCTGAATTTAACCAAAAAACTTATTCCGAGCTCCAAAGTGGAACTGGTGATAAAAAACAATCTGCAAAAAAAGAAAAAGCCCCAAAAAAAGCATCGGAGCCCAAAAAAGCTGCTCCTAAAGAAGTAGCTGCTGAAGAAGAACCAGATGCAGCAGACCTCATTTTAGCTGCAGAACCCAAGTCAAGCAATCCATTTGATGCTCTCCCTAAAGGGTATGTATTAATATAGTTAATTATGTTTTATTGTGTATTTAATGTTACACATTTTCTTTAGAACATTCAACATGGATGAATTCAAGAGAGTGTACAGTAATGAAGAAGAATCCAAGTCTATTGCTTATTTCTGGGATCACTTTGATAAAGAAAATTATTCAATTTGGTTTGGTGAATACAAATATAACAGTGAATTACAAAAAGTGTTCATGAGTTGTAATCTTATCTCTGGTAAGTTAATAGGTTTTATATTAATTTAAATGTTATATTATATTACAATTATATTAAATATATTAATGAGAAGTAAATTTTGTAATCAGTATTTTATTTTTTTAATGTTTTTTATTTATTGTCATTTTTAAAATTAACATAACTTTCCAGATAATAATCTTATTTTTGCATTAAGCATTTAACACAAATTATTTAAGTATCAAAAGTTTTGGTATTTTTAATTCAAATGTTTTAACCGTGGGGATTCACAACAATTTATAAATAATATTAGCATATGAATTATTGAATCTATTTAAAGAAAATCCCTTAGATTATTATTGCATTTGATGTATAAAATAGTTAATAATTTAATTATTTATTATGTTTAAAAATAATTAACTAAAACATATTTTCTATAGGAATGTTCCAGCGATTGGATAAGATGAGGAAGCAAGCTTTTGCCTCTGTTTGTCTTTTCGGCTCTGAAGGGAATAGTACAATTTCCGGGGTGTGGATTTGGAGAGGCCATGACCTTGCTTTTGAAGTATGAATGAATATTTAATTATGATAATACATCATATTTATAATATAAATTATGATATTTTAGTTAAGTAATGATTGGAAAGTAGACTATGATGTCTACACATGGAAAAAATTAGATGCTGACAATGAAGAAACAAAGAAGTTAGTCAGTGATTACTTTGCATGGACAGCCAAAGACAAAGATGGCAGACCTTTCAACCAAGGAAAAATATTTAAATAAATACTACTGCTTTATCATATAAAATTGATCATATTAACAATATAAAAAAAAAGAAACATTTATTTTTTTATGTTTTGCCAAGTTTTTTTTGTATTCTCTCCAAGCCTTTCCTGAAAAATAATTAGAATTTAATTTATTATTGGTTTCATTCTAGAAATGGGTTTAACCATTACATTTCATTTGTTATCAAAAAAATAAAAATTCTACCTAAGAGTAAAATCTGAGCCAATTCCTCTTTTCCATTCAACCTTTTCTATGTTTTCTAAAAGTTTTGGTAAGAAATGTGTAACAATATCTGGTGAAACATTTATCATGTTCTCCAAAAAATCGAAAACCAGTTTTGATGAAAAAGCTAGATGTTCTTGGCAAAGAGCATTAAATGATGATATAATTTCATTTCTATAAAAATAATCACAAATTTGATATATGATATGATTTTTAAAACAAATATTGACTTACTTAATATCATCATTACACAAGCTTTGGTCAACCAATGTTTTAATGATTTCTTTTGTAATTCGTTTACAAATATTGGAATCTTCACAAAACATTGATACTGCACATACACGCATCAATGCATTTTGAATAATGGATATTATTACTAACTTATTATTACAATTTTTTTTTATAATACCATTAATATATTCTAAAACCTGCAAATAGAAGTTCAATATTTTAAACGATATTGATAATATTAAAGATGAGTAAACCCACTTGAGCGACACTACTATCTGGAGAACGATTACGTTTGCTTAAAAATATTGAAACTAATAATTCTAAGAACATTTCTCGTTCGGGTATTTCATTGTCTGGTTTCTCTTCAAAGAATTTCAGCAATGGCAATTCATCAGAAGATTTAATCCCCATCAAAATTTTGGGAAAGTATATAGAAGTTAACTCTCGAAGGCAACGAGCAATATATTGATCTGTTTTAGGATCTGAAAACATAAAGAACATTGCACAACAATTATAACCTGCAAACCAAACATATTTTGCAATTTTTATATTAACTCAGATGAAATAATCCAATAAGATATCGATGTAGACTGGACAAAAGGGCAGATATCACACTTGGGTGTATTTTGGAGCTAGGGTTTCTCACAGTTACACCCAGTAGCATAGAGTCCAATAACTCTTGTAAAATAGTGTTTGGTTTACCCTAGAGTAAAATATGAACAATCAACATAAAATTAATCGGTAACTGTTCAAAACAGCAAGCAAATAGGAAAGTTATGTCTTACTTTAATATAGATTAATGGTGAAATTTTTTCAAACATATAACCAATCACCATATATAATCTGTATATCTCATCATTTTGTTTTTGTTGTTTTAATAAAATGTTTACCCAAATCTTGATACTGTAAAAATAGTCTGTCACTTTTTCGCATAACTTTTGGCGTAATTTTATGTCCTAAAAACGATTAATATCGCAAAATAAATCGTTGATCATTTTAATAACTTAAAAATTGTATTAAGTTAAGGCTACAAAAAAATGTAAGCTCCTATTTTCCATGTATTCATGAAAAATTTAAATAATCTATGTTGCACCCGTATTTATAATTTTTATTTCCTTCATCCTCTTTTTAAATACAGTAATTTTCATAAGGTATACTTTGATGTATTCATCCATTATATACAAATTTATATAGCAAACTAATAACTAGATAAATAATAAGAGAAAATAACTAAAAATGTAATTATATCTAAAATAATGGTATTTTTGGAATATTTTTTTTTTTTTATTTACTTGAGTCTGTTGATATTTTATACACAATAAATCTAAAAATGTTATAAATGGATCAACACTTGTTTCCAAATCATTTCCAGTATTTGCAAATAATTCCTTGATTTCGCTTATGGTTGAAACAAATCGAGTGATAGTCATTATATCATTAAAAGTCCAGTTTGTAATCAACATAGAGCTATGTAACCATGCCTAAATAATATAAATTCAATATTTAAAATCACGGTCTATTAATTAAATAGTATAATTATTATATTTTAAGTTCTTAAATAATAGTCAATTACTATTTTCAAATGATTTTATAAGGAAATTAAAATTTTTTTTTTCAAGTGATGAAGTTCCTCTATATCAGTGTTTCCCAACAATGAGTCACTACTTGTAAACTAATGAAAAGAAAAATATCTTAGTTATTAAAATATAATTAAATATGAATTAAAATTAACTCTTGTAGTATTGCATTAAAGTATATGATAAAACTCCTTAATATTATTAATTATTAATAATAATATTATAATAAAGTATACTAGGTTTTTTTTTAATCTTTTTAAGGGTTGTTTATCCAACACAAAGGACATTTATGGGCTGTTTTAATAAGTAGTTGTAGTCAAGGTAGGGAAATACTGCCTCTTTTTTATATATATATATTTTATTTAGCTTGTACTGTCAATATAGCTCAACAATTACAACACATTAAACAAGTTAACAAAGCAAAATAAAAATAATAACATATTTATAAATGGAAGTGATTAATAAAAAAATAGGGGAAAAAAGAAAAAACATAAATAAGTAAACAAAAAAAACTAAACTAAAAAATTTTCAGATGAAAAATCCAGTCTCCTGGATAAATTAAATAATAATAGCAAAAACCTGTTCAGTTGGATATAATGATAGATGAAAGATTGAAAGAAATATTTAATGCATTTAAACTAAATTAATAACTAAATTAAGATATTTTATAGACAGAGGACAATCAAAAAGTATATGTGATAAATTATAAATGCTTTTCTCCATATGAAGCATACAAAATGGAGAATCATTTAAGTTTAATTTATAGGCATAGGAGGATAAAAGATAATGTCCAATACGTAAATGATTGAACTATTTATTAGAATATCTGAGTAACGTTATATTTTTAAACCAAATATTGTTACACTGCCCTATATTTATAGTAAAATGCATTTATTGGTAGTTGTATAGCTATGAAATTAATTTAAAATTGTATTATATAATTATAATTAAGCTCTATAATTAATGTAACAACAGATTTTTACCTTTATTAAGGCCAAACTATTGTATCCATGAACATTTGATGTGATATTTTCTTTAATAATAGTTGATAAATATCTATTAAGTAGTCTAAAAGCATAAAAACATTTATGTTTAGAAATTATTAATTTAAGACTGACAATATGATGAGAAAAATACATAAAAAATGTTAAACATCAAAGTTAGAAACAAGCAACTACTTCAGTTCTAAATAGTACTTACTTTATACTTATTGCTTGGTTTACAACAAAAAAATTGAATAACATCACTTTTGTGTTAGAAAATGTAGGTAAAGATGAAAGGATTGTAAACGCTGCAGCAATATCTGCTACAATTGTACCACAATCAATTGATAGACAAGATTTCTTTAAAAATGGTAACATATAATTAAACAATGAATTGTAAAGTATAAATACTTCATTTTCTGTAAAACAACATAATTTTGATTTTAATTATTCTATTAGAATCACATAATAATTATAATTAATTAATGATTTTTATTTTTCTATTTGTTTTTGAATTTACTGTTAGAACTAAGAATGTTTTGGCTAGTCATAACATTTATTTTACCATGGATAATATTGAATAAATTATCAAAAGATAATTAATACCTAATTTTTTGACTGATTATTAAAGGTCTCATACATAGAAACTCCAAAAAAAAGCTTTTTTCTATATTTTTTTCTTATCTTAAACAATAGCTTGAATCAAAAAAATATACTGTTACTCAACTTTCAGTAAATTTTAAAACTGTTAGATATGATTTTGTTGTATTTTTAGTTTCTTTTTTTTAAATTAAAGGTGTTCAAATGCTACAAATTGTAATTCAAATTTTTGAGCAAAATTATAGTTCTAATATATATTTTATACACAACAACGATTTTATAATTTTTGCTATACATAATAAAATAGATTATATTTTACCTCGTGGAAAGGGCATTGGTTGATCTTTTGCTATTTTTTTTAGTTTTTCTAGTATGAGTAGAACCGTTTGCAAGATTTCATTGTCATCCAATGGCTTGATCACACTAAGATAATTTTCAAACCAAGGTCCTTTAAAATAGTTAAAATATATTAAAAACTATACAAGTGATTTAGCAATTAACGTTCAAATTACCAAAAAGAGTATGTTGTCCAAGTGTGAAAGATTCACTAAATATAAATACTTCTTTTAGACCACTTAAAAAAATAATGATATAATCTTGTGATGTTGTATTTAATGTATCCGACAACGCCATTCCATAAGCGGTCATTGAAGTTTTACTCTGAGAATGTAAAATCAAAAGTGCCACTGTACCTTTCCAATAAGTTGATCTAATATTTGGCTCTAATTTTTGTTCAGAAATTAATTTTACGAGATGTTGATATTTGAGAGCCTAAAATCATAAAAAAGAAAATGGTTCAAAAAATATTTAAATACAATTATTAATTGCTTACTATTTGTGATGTATCATTTGACATTATAGCTAATGTTAAGAACAATGTGGTGAAATTATAAAAGCCAATATCATTAAATGACAACAGTTTACTTGGAGAAAATTTTGAAAAAATTCTACCTTTTAATTGATTCCAATCTTTTGAGTTGTATTTAGTGTTTTGTAAATGGAGGCCTAGAAAATAAATTATTATTGAAATCTAATTTTATCATTTTTTCTACAAATAGAATATTTTATGTAAGAACCAAAATTATAATAGAAAATTAACAGCATAATATGCATTATTATATTAATATTAATGCAGAAATAAACATAAAAAAATGAAATATTTCTAGGAGTAACTGAGGTACTTCACTATACTTCAATAAAACTTAGATATTAATAAATAAAAATTATTGTATTTCATAATAATCTTAGGATTGAAAAAAAATTTTAAATAAAATACTGACCACTAAACAATTAAATATAAATCATAAATTAAGTTATAAACAACTGTTCTTAATTCTCACATGATAACACATCCCTTATGTCAATAATCGGTTACTTGAGTACATATTATAAATGAAATCAAAAGATGCTAGTTTTCAAATATTTATATGATGTAAATAAACACTAAATAATAAATTTATCATCCCTTGAAATGTACGTGAATCTAAGTGAACATATGTACATACTTTATGTCAATAACTAAAATTTTTCTATTCATATTGAATCAACACACACACACACACACACACACACACACACACACACACATACTTCAATTAAATTGTATGATGTATTAAAATGATAGATGGATTTTGGAAAATATACAATATTTCTACAATGTAATATTTTATATATCAAATTAAGTTTTATATCAAGTTGTTGGTATTACAATAATTGTTAAATAGTATAAAAAGTTACTTACCTAGAAGTCTTTGAAACAATTGGAAACTATTGTAACTAGATAATAATTCAGATTTTTGAGCAGAAAACTGATTGGTTATTTGAATAAGAAGTTCTGGACCATTTTTACTAAAAATCAGATACAAAATATAAGTATTAAGTGAATTGCGTCCCACTTTTATAAAACTAGACGAACTGCGTTCATGTTTTAATTTAATATTAGGTGAATTACATCCAATGGTTCAGCCTATTAGCATTATCCAGAAGACACTATGAGGAAGTTGTCCGTATAGTCCTTCTAAAATTTGGTTTTATTTTTAATTTTAAAATAAATTTGTAAGTGTTATTAATTTGTGGGTACATTTTTCAATTTGTGTATGTTAAACTGGTAGAAATTTAAATTAAATGATTTTGACATATTCGAGGCTGATCAATAATTTATTATTATATTCAATCATTTTTTCTTAAATATAATTTTCTTTTTCAACAATTTGACAGGATTTTTTTTGGTGTCCCGTCAAAAATATCTCCACAAAAAATATTTCAGATTTAATTATTATAATTTATTATAAATGTAGAATTAAATTATCTCATCATTATGCATTAAGTAACATGTATTATTATTTATTGTAAATTTAAAATTTTCTCAAGATTCATAAGATTTTAAAATATTATTGATGTTAAATTCAGCTCGTCTTTATCGGAAAACTGATATAGATAAACAATAATTTTCCTTCGCGAAACAACCTCGGAAGAGTTATAATTAAAAACATAATACATTTCTAAATTTCTCTTAGAAATACTCTGATTCAGTTTATATTATTAATACTTGTTATATTATATTTTACTGATATGCTGTTGTATAATATCTACATTAAAAATATTCATTGTTTTCTTTTAAAATTGTTTGTACCAGAGATATTTTGTGCTGGATATATTTTGACAGAGATATTTTTACTGGAGATATTTTGACATGGAACCTTTTCTTTTACCATTACTTTGTATTTTTATATACATATGTATGTTTCAGACTGAATATCTTTTAAAATATCAATTAAGTTGAAAATATTTGGATGACTAGTGATAAATAAATTATTTAATTTAGAATGGAATGCCTCACAACTGTTGGTTGTCCGACTTGTTGAACTAGTCCAACTAGTATAGATATGAATAAAAGTGCTATTTTACTGCTGCTATATCTCTTAACAACATTTATTAATTCAACTATTTTTATGTGTTGTATTTCATTCTATCACACAAAAAAAAGATATTGAGGATGCAATTCACCTCGTTAGTAAGGTCACACCAACCTGTGTAATACCATTATTTTTTTTTTTTTGAGATGTGATTCACCAAACTCGAAAATAGTACATTTATTAACATAATGGTACTTAATCCAATTTATGACCTACCACTAACTTTTTGACATAATAAAAATTATAAAAATTCTTGATTACCTGATACATGCAATATTCTGAATCTTCATATCAGATGAATAAAATGTTGAGTTTAATCTTTTATGGAAATATTCCCATAGTGCTAATATTGGTTCTGTAATAAATGAAGACAGTACAATGTTTTCTAATAAACAAACTGTTATCTTCAATTGAACTTCACTTGGTTCTTTATTAAGAAATTCTTTGAGAACAGGCACCAAATAGCTATCATTTAAGTCCTAGTTAAAATGTAATAAGATTTTAATTATATCCATTATTTTAAATAAAAACAATGGAATATGATGGACATAATATTTTTCAATGATGTAAATACCAGATGATCCCATGTTTCTTTTTGTCAGAGAATCAAAATAAATGCTTAAAATTAAATGTATTAAAAATTTCTAAAAAAAAACACTCTTTAAGAATAGCAGAACACTTAAGTTTAAACAATTTATGAAATTAGTGCATTACTTATGGCATTTCCAATCTAAGAAAAATTAATTATTGAAATTTTAAAGCATTTTTATCATTTTAAATTTTCAAAAAAGTTATTAAAAAAAAAATTGCTTTACAATAATTTACCGAATATGTATTCATTATGTTTTTAAAGTAAAAGGAACTGAAAACTAAGGTTAATAATCTGTAATTAGTATACAAGTTTTATTAAAAGTACAACTATTTTCAAAATTAAAAGAAAAAATAAATTGTTTATGAATTAAAAGGATTATAGATTTTTTTAAACAATTTTTTGTTTTTCTATAAACAATCTAATATTTTTAAATTTATGAAATAGAAAAATAAAATCATTGGCTGTACTTTCAGTATAGCAAGTTTCATAGAGTTTGCTACTTCTTTTTATTGTTAAGATTATTTATTTGAAAAATGAAGTGATTTAAACTGTTGCCTGCTTCTAATTTCTTTTAATTAGTAAAATATCTAAATAACTATTTTAAAATAGTTTTTTTTCAAATAATGTTCATAGATAGAAAAATAAATACTTTATTACAGTACAAACTATTTCTTTATTATATTCAGAAATAAATTCTATAATAGTTTGACTAACATTTTAAATAAAAAAATTTGAGAAAATATAAATTAATATTCAAACTAAGTTCGTTTAATGTTACAAATGTTTAAAAAGTAATAATGTAACTTACTATTGATGTCGATGCTTCAGATTTTTGTAAACTGTTTAAAAACCACAATCGAAAAATTAACTCATCACAATCCACAACATTTACATTTGTAAAAATTGGATTAAAATACTGCCAAAAATTCTAAAAAAAAAAAAATGTATTTTTCTCAAATAAGATTATTTCTATATAAAATAATATTAAATCAAAATTACTTACATCAGTATTATGTATAAATTGTTGTTTATTAATTAAATAATTTATTAGAACTAAATAATCATAAGTACAATCACAAAGTAGTGCATTCTTAGAATGGAGATCTATGAGTTTCAGCTATAATCAAATACATAAAAAAAATTAACAATATTATAAGCCATTAATAAAACAATGTAGAATGTACGTTTACTTTCTTAAATCTATTTTTTGTCAACTGTACTAAATCATTCAGAGCATTATGTAAGGTATTTTTAAAAGTATCTCTACTTTTTGGTAGTTCTGATAGTAATGATAATTGAAACCACCGTACATCCAAATGGCAATGATATAAGTGATAGTAAATATTATTCTGTAAATATTATAAAAAATATAAATATACTATAGAAAAAGTTATAAATAAACTCTAAAATTTAGAATTAAAATATTAAAATGTAGATAAGATTTTCTTTACTAAAAAATATATCTATATGCAATTTTATGTTGTAAAAATAAAATTAAAATAATAATAAAAAGAACATAAAATTGAATACAAATTATAATAATAATTGTTAAAGTATAATTAACATTTACTTTGCAGTTTAAAATAATTCAATATATATATAATAGGATTTAAACATATTTTTTAAATTTTAATATAATCTATGTAAAAAAATATACTTTATAATCAGACGAAGACAATGCATGTTGTATAATAGTATCAGACAAATTATGAAACTGTCCAAGTGCTGTACACAAATTTTCTAATTCAGACACAATTTTTTTTTCAAGAGATTCCATCAACCAATTATGGTCTTCGCAAGAATTTATGCTGAAAAAATAAAAATAATAATACAACTCTGGGTCGTTCAAAGGTCTTCAAAATAAATAAGTTACATTTTAATACTGTCTCTTAAAAACAAAAGAAACTCAGACATTTGGCATCTTACATCCTCATAGTATACGGTCTTGCAATTGATTTGATTGTGAGACTTAAATGTTTTATACTGATCTCGTGTAATAGAACTAAGACTTAGCAAATTTTTTCTAAACACGAAAATAATAATCATATATTTGAACATGAAACAAAATTAAAAATAAATGCTATACATACTTTGCTATTCTAAACAGTATAGGAATATCATACACTAAACTATGGCCCTTATGAAATGAATGACCAAATAATGTAATACGTTCCGATGATTGATTTCCATCATCATTAATAGTAAAATTATAATTTAGTTCGCTTCTAACAAACTGTTCATTTGATACATTCGGACGACCTTTGCAGTTAAAGCAAAACGACGATGGTGACTGGTCTGCAGAAGTGGACAAATCGTCGGATTACTGAACGCTCAACATGACTGTTGTTGATAATCCAACAATGGTGATTGATTAAGTTTTTATTTACTCACCGGCATTTTCAGTAGAGAACCAATGCATGCTGTAATACCAATCTGTACTGCAATCAAGTAGTTTTCCCCTGTACGATTGTGTTGAAAACGAGATCGATCAAACAGTATAAATGAACAGCAATAGGTAATTATTATAGTTACAGTAGCATTATCAGTTCGTTTCAAAAACTTAATTATACGGTCCACGTTTTGGCGGGAAACGTACATTCTTAATGATATGCGTTGAGATAAGGAATAAAAATTATTGAATGAATCACAGATATGTATAATAAACTAGATTGCTAACTGATGATAAGATGTGAAGCCATTATCCGCCATTTTAATCGAGGCTGATGTAGATTTTGCCTTATCAATTTTTATCATTAATTGTCAGTTGTGCACACAGATATGTATAATTATATATGTTTTTTATACATGTCTGTGGTTGTGCATTTATTTAGAAATTATAATAGTTTATACTATATTTCCAATCATGCCATATAAGTGCTGTGTTGATGGATGCCGTAGCAAGGACGGGGTTGTTGGTTCAACTACGAAATTATTTAGGTAATTAAATACTCAACACATAAATTGTCAAAAATAATTAGTTTTACTAAAATACTCTTATAATAATGTGTTTGATATTTCGTTTTTAACTATAGATTCCCAATCGATGAGATTAGGAGACAAAAATGGGTGGACTCTATTCAAAGAGATAACTTTATTCCAACAAAATATTCACGCTTATGCAGTCTCCATTTTAATAACAGTGAATTTGTTGAAGCCCCAGAAAAACTTATTTTAAAAAATACAGCTATTCCATCCAATTTCAATTATGCCAAAAGAGCAACAAAATGTTTAAGCAACAAATTTGATCACGATTATAGTTCTTCAGGTAAATATGAAATTCAATGGTGCATTTGTACTATTTACCTATTTATTTAACAATTATTAAGTAAATTATTATTATAGTTTCTTCTTTATCAAATATAATTAATATACCAACAAATTCAAATACACTTACTACTTTTCCTAATGTGCCGATTGATTCTGGTGTTGAAAATGCTGGGTGTAATTATGAAGCTATCGATCTAACTTTTATTGGACCTAGTAAGTTAAACTTGAATTCATATACAATAATGATATGACATGTATTACATTTGTTATAGATTTTAGCCAGTCACCTCATACCCCTACGTATACACCTACGCTCAAAAGAAAATTTAACAAAAAATTATTTGATACACCAAAAAAAACCGACCTCAAAAATCGAATTAAACTTTTACAACAAACTGTTAGAAGGCAGAATACAAAAATTAATTATCTTGAGGTTTTTATAAAGAAGCTAAAAAATAAAATAAATGATTACAGTAGTCCCACTTATTCCAAAGCCATCAGTGAAAGAGATTATTATTTTTAAGATGAGTCGAAGTTCAAGGGAAATTACATTTATTCGACTTATAGAGGTTTCATTGTATATGTTACCAACAATGTTTACAAGCCGAAAATGATGACAATGCTTAATATGTTCCTAAACTTATTAGGCATTGTCATCATTTCCTGAAATGACAACATTGCCGGTAACATATACATAAGGGCACTAGTTTTAAAGTGTACATGGTCACTAAATTTTCAGAAAACCAAAAAAACCGCACCCTAGTGATGACTGGATGAGTGAGACTTAACTGTATATTGTGATTAAAATGATGAAGTTTTTTTTTAATTTTTAACAAATTTTTCCTATCAGAAATTGATGTTTACTATTGGATCCTGTACTGATAGAGAAACTACTAATATAATTAAAAAATATTTCACAGAGGTTTTTTTAAAAGACATTATAAATAATGGTAATGTGGCTCCTACTGCAAGGCAATACTGTGAAGAAGTTAAAAAGTTTGCAACTACGCTTTACTTTTATTCTCCAAAAGCATATAACTATGTTAGGTATATATCCTCAATAACTGAAACAATTATATATTTCAGTTATAGAAATTCTAATACCCCGACTAATATTTCTTTTAATTTAAAGAACTTCAATTGCTTTGCCTAATCCAAGTGCCATAAGGAATTGGGTATCAAATATAAATGTTGAAACTGGTATTTTACAAGATGTCTTGTTAGAAATAGGTAAATTTCCATATGAAGATAAATTTTGTTGTTTGATATTAGACTCTATGAGTATTAAAAAATCAGTTCAGTGGGATAAAGTTAGTCATATGTATGTATCACTAGAAAATAATGTTCATTTTTAAATATATTTTAATTAGATATAAATTTATGAATTCAAATTTATATAGGTTTGTTGGTTATTGTGACTATGGCAATAGTTTAACAGTTGAAGACTGTGAAAAAGAATCAACAGAGGTTTTAGTTTTTATGCTGTCTAGTTTAAAACAAAAATGGAAATGGCCAATTGGGTATTGGTTTGTAGATAAAATAAAATCAAATGTACAAGCACAATTAATTAGGATTGCTATAGCCCAATGTGATAAATTTGGGATTAATATGGTGACAGTCACCTGTGATGGAGCATATGCTAATTCTTCAACTTTTAAGACTCTAGGATGTGATATAGACCAACCTTTTGATTTTATCAAGTCCGATTTTTGGACAAATTCAACTAAAGCTAATATTTATTTCACACCTGACGCATGCCATAATGTGAAATTGGCTAGGAATGCTTTGGGAACACTTGGAGTATTTAAAGATTCAAACAACAATCTTATTGAATGGAGATATATTCATATATTATTTGAACTGCAAAATAACATCGGGTTTAAATTGGCTAACAAGATAAACTCTTCACATATAAATTGGAAAAGCAATAGTATGAAAGTAAAATTAGCAGTTCAAACACTAAGCAGATCCGTTGCAGTCTCTACAATTTCTATCAAAAACTTCAAAAGATTTTAAAAATTGTGATGCAACAATAACATTCATCAGGGTTGTAGATGAGATTTTTGATTTCTTGAATTCCAGAAACCCATATGCAAAATGTTTTAAACAACCAATTAATAGTCATAATATTCAATGCTTAGAAACAAAAATGAAAAATCATATTGACTATTTGTATTCATTGAAGACAGCTACTGGGCAAGATCTGTGGAAAAGTAAAAGAAAAACTTTTATATTACGTTTTGCTGCATCAATAAAATCTACTATAGCTATAGTGAAGAATTTGTTAATAAATCATAATTTTAAAATTATTCTGACATACAAATTTAGTCAAGATGCGATAGAACTTTTTTTTGGATTTATGAGAGGTCGATTGGGTCATAATAATAATCCTACCTGTTTGCAATTCAAACATGCTCTAAAAAGTACTTTATTACACAATTCAATAAGACTTAGCTCGGGAAACTGTACACTGATGTCACCTCACGAAGTTTCTCTTTTTTCAATTAAATGGAAATATAAAGCACCAGAACAAAATTTAGAAAATGAACTTGATATTTCATTGTTAGCAAAATAGTACAATAAATTAGATTTTAATAGCATCACTGAAAATATATTATACTATATATGTGGATATATTGTTAAAAAACTAATCCCAACTTTAAAATGTGATGGTTGTATTGAAGTCATTACAGAACCATTCATTGAAAATGACCACATTTATCAAAATAATACCACACCAAAAAATTTTACAATTATGAAAAACAGAGGTGGTTTGAAGTATACTTCTGATGGGGTGTACAAAATTGTTAAATTGACAGAAACATTATTTAAAACCATTATGGTGGATAAAAAACAAATGTATATTAAAAATATGGATTTAAAAATTATGATAAGTGTACAAAACTCATTAGCGACAAACGCTATACTATATTTATTATACATATCTGTGGAATGTATTGATAATAAATACATCTATTATCAATGATTGAATGTGATAAAAAATAATATTTTCATTAGTGATGGGCATAATCAAAATATTAGTAATCGAGACATTTTTATAACCACGAGATGTTTCGAAATAATCATTCGAAATGTTCAACTGAAATATAATATAATTTTATTCATAAACGTTCTGAAAATTTTTTTGTTGTTTTGTGGTTACGTAAGCTGCTCTAAAGAGAAAGTCAACTCTGAAGCAGATTAAAATATCATAATTTTTCAAAATATAAATAATGTACCATGTTGGCTCTTTTTTTTTTTGTCTTAAAATATGTCACGTATTATAATTAAAGCTTATTTTGTTTCAGTTAAATATTATAATAAAATTATTTGTTTATGGTTACGAATTTTAAATTATTTTACACACATTAATAATACATACATACAATACATTCATATACGATTATATAACTTTTGATATATCCTATGTCAATCATCCGGATATTTGCTTATCCGGACCATCCTTGACATTAATTAGTCCGGATAATCGTTGTTCTACCATAATTGAATATTTTAATAATAACGGAAAAACGTGATCAAATTAAAATATGATGTTTAATTATTTCAGTATATTTTAAACAAAAATACATTTTTTGGAGTTTCATTTATTTATTAGTAAAAAAGAACTGCATATAATACTGTATGTATTTCAAATAAAAATATACTCTTATAATCTATACAATAACAAGAATAAATGAGTAAATTTGTTCAGTATAAAGGATGTATAAAAATTAAAAACAGTGATAAAATATAATTTTATGTTCTTGATTTTGTTCATTCAAATTGATCAACTGGATACTATTGGTTTGAACACCCATTGTTGATTATTTTGTTCTTTGTTCTTGATTTTGTTTGTTCAACTTGACCAACTGGGTACAATTGGTTTGAATACCCATTGTTGATTAGCATTATTTGAATCACATGGTGTTAATATTACTTGATCGGATAATGGGTGAGCACTTAGACATTTCCTGGTTATTGTATGAAGTAGTAATTTGTTGGTCTAAATAAAAAATACACAACCGTTTTACTTAGTATACAATATATGTAAAATATAGTTGATTCCAATAAAAGTTACAGAATATTATTCAAATAAACTACAATAGTGTTTTGACGAAAAAGCATAATTTGAAATTTTTTAGCAGGAACAAAAAGATGATAGTAAAATTTACAATAGTTATCAATATCTTTTATGCTCATACATTCATAAAATAAGTACAATTATAGTTAATTTCCTTATAATCAATTGTTTTTTTTTTTTATAAATTACACGTACCAATTCATACTGCCATGGTCCATCAACAGTTCCTAATGGACATACAACTAATTTTACATTTTGTCGATCAGCAAAAATACAACGTTCACCAACACCAAGTTGCCCTTTTGTATTCAATCTAAAAAGCTGTATATAAGATAAAAAATAAATGTGTATTAGTGATTATTATATGATATTATATTATTATTAACTATATAATTTTTTTCAAACAATAAAATATTTAAAAACTTTTGCAATTATAACATTAAACATTTTTGACAACATTCAACAGTCTACAGGTTTATATTAATTTTTATTAGATTATTTTCTAAAAAAAATCAATTTTCTTACAATGTTTAAATATCTAGAGCAGATTAAGTAATACTGTATTGTAAATTATTTAGAAGAAAAATAAAATATAAAATGTGTTTAATTGAATCTGACTTTAAATATATAAGCTAACTGAAGGAATTCAAATTAAATATGTACCTTCTATTTATTGTAATTAATAGTATGTAATAGATGTTATACGATTTCCAATATACAAATTTATAGATTATAGACATTATTTTATATGGTATTCAATTATAATAAATATTGCATATTATTATTGTTCACCTGATTATTTCCTTGTCCATGGCATAACTCTAAACCTACTAATGCTGGTGGCTGATGACCTCTGGTATCCAAGCAAGTTGTTTTGCCAACATTACGCAACTAAATATAAATCTTGTATTAATATTTAAATATTCTATATCTAGTTAAATAGATAACTTACTTCTCCCCAATGTAAATTTGGAGGAAGTTCAGGAAACTTAGTATAAACATCATAGGCAACATTATCCATAAACCATGAAAAATCTTTACATTTTAATTTATCCTTCAGTTTTACTTGTTCACTTATATCACCCATATCTAGGTAGCGGGCTAATGGTTCACGAGTATAAAAAAATTCTTTATGTTTATTATCAAACCATGTTTCAATAACGCGTTTATAATTCTAAAAAAAAATTATATAATGAATTTAAAACAATCATATTTTAAAATAAATATATTAATATTTTATACATAGGTAATCAAAGGTCCTTTGACTTTCTTGCCAAGTTCTCCAAAGTTATAAGGCATAAATCCACGGTAAACATGTCCAACACGAGAACAAGGTACCCATTCAATACTACCACCACATTGCCAAATCTAACAATAAAACATAATTATTCAATACAACATTAAAATATAAACAACTATAGAAAATTGACAAATTCAATATTACAATTATGAGTAATTGATAATATTTCTCAATTATACTTTAGTCTATATGAATAATGGTTATTTTAATACTTATTATTTGTAACATTAAAGTTCTAATAATAAAAAAATAATGACTTCTACATAAAGAAATTTATAATGTATGACAGATCAATAAAATCAAGACTTTTGTTTTATAACTAAGAAAATATAAAAAAATTAATTTGGTTTAATATGATAATACAAAATTATCTTACTTTAAAAGACAATTCAAAATTTTCCCCTCCCCAAACAAGTAATCCAGGGTCATATGCTCCAAGTTCTAGAAAATAATTTCTATCCATTGCAAACAAACCACCTGCATGAGTGGGTGACCTTGATTTTGTATAAAACAAATATGTTAAATTATCACTTTTATACATGAAATATAAATATTACTTATAAGGTTCGCTTTTATAAGTTCGTTTTCTTTCTTCTATAGCAGGTATCTCGATTTCTTTATACAACATACCCCATTCAAATATACCACGGAAGAAATGATCTTTTTCATAAACAGGACGATATTCCCATGTATTATGATCAATTCCATCAATTACAGGTACAGTCATAATTTTTCTGGTAAAAAAAAAAAAATGTATAATTACAAAATTATTCCTTAACATGTAAATTTAGTTTGGGAAATAAAATAACACCTGTCTCGTGCAATAGGTGCAATCAACGGTGGTAACCAGTTGTACCCAACTTCACAATGAGCATCCAGAAATAATATTATTTCTCCTCTAGCATTTAATGCACCTTTTGATCGTGTTCTAATCAATCCTTCACGTTCAGAGTTCCGAATTAATCTTACTTTACCATTAAATCTTTCAATGTAATATTCCAATTTCTTTTTTAAATTTTCTGAAAAATGTTGGTTAAACATAAGAATGTTAAATTTGAATAAATTTGTTCAAAAACTACCTTTATTACTAAAATCATCAACCAAAAGAATTTCTTCCAAAAACTGAGGTGGAGTCCTATTAAGAATACTGTGTACAGTTCTCAATAAAGATGACCAACCTTCATTATGAAATACTATTATAATACTAGTACGTGGTAATTCTTCAGGGTAAGACCAATATTTACATCTAGAAAAAATAAAAGCAACATTTCATTCATACAGTATCAAAAATATTTAAATAAATAATTTAATATGTTTAATATAATAGTAATATATAATATTACTCATCCATGCGATGATCTGGAATTGTTCTATTTAGAGAGATATCGTCTGAGCAAGCCATGTTCATGCCATACTCGGATAAAGATTGTAATGCTTCATTTTCTCTGTCACTCGGCACATGATGAGGTTCACCCTTTTCACCAGGACCTGGTTTATTAGTTGATGTTGCCTGTTCAAAATTACCAAGTGTTTGATCATGGAAAACCGGTGCCTGAAAACAGTATAATTTAGTTTGATATTTTTTCTGTGACAAACATAATATGTTATATTTTTATACTGTTATATTGAAGTATTTACCTGATTGGAAAATCTAGAATGACTGTAATTAGATGATTCATGTGAGTTTTGGAGATTCTCAGAACGTATGTATAAGGCAAGTAGCAATAGCAAGATAATGATAGTACCAATAATAATTTTGGCAAATTTATTGCGCTTCAGCTGAATAATTCTATACCTGAGAAACATGTTTGATGTTTGAATACCTAAAACATTATTGGAATTACATGTTATAATCGATCGAATGAAACAAGCGCCAAATCGAAGCATCGCGCGTTTAGCATTTGGATATCAATGAGTAAAACAAGTAGAACTCACATCAGCAAAACGAAATCTTATCCAAGCAAATCGTTAAGTAGTTATGGCCAAATCTATGCGATCGGTTAAGAAACGAAAAGCGTATTCAACGATCACGGGAACCCGACATTTGACGAGAACATAGTTTCTGCAACACGTTAGAACACTATTACCCAAGTTTGTTGTTGATGTAATGAATATTTTTTCAAATTCGTTTGGTCTCGTTTGTAGTCAGTGTGATAACGTTACCCGCGATTAGAAAAAACGATATCGTCTACGTCACATTTAAATACAATATTACCACGTAGCATCTCGCTGCTCGGTGGGCGGCTGGCTCATAATCCGCCACTGAAGCCGTGGCGCCGACTCATCGTTATCACATTTTATTGTTCCGTGCTATCACTGCGAATTCCGCGGGGCATTAGCGCTATCTATGCGTACATAGTGGCGAACGGTTGACGTGCAATCGTTTGTAGTGTTTGAACGGACCGGAACCGGAAGAGAGCGTGTCGTTTGTGATAACACGAAATCAACAATCGACAATCGGCATAATGCATTTCAAATCCGATCACTACGCCTTTTTTTATGCATGCGCTTTGTGGAAGCACTGAAGTGGCGATTGAGAAATCCGTAGGACCCAGTGGCAAAGCTTGGGTTTTGGATTAGGGGAGAAAACAATTTAACAATGTATAAATAAACAATATTTTTATTAATTTATTTATTATAATAATTTTTAACTTATTTACCTATATCAGTTTGTAAGTTTAGTCGATTTTTCTATTTTTCGTTTCTGCAAAAAGATTAATAACTTCGTCAATAAATGTCGAATCTGCACCAAGCTCTTTAAACATTTGTTTTTCGATGGCCGAAGACAATAGATTTGACAATCGGCCATTGTTTATAGAATTCATTAAAAATGTTTTTATACATTTCAAAGTACTCATGTTCTTCTCACTAGATGATGCTACAGGAATGGACAAAACCAGTTGTAGTAATTTAAAAAACTTCCTGGTACACCTCTTGTAAATTATTTAAAATCAAACAAAAATTATCAGCTATAAAAATTTTCAAATATAAAAAAAAAATATATTTATAAATATAAATAATAAATATAATATATATAATAATAATAATATATAAATATTATGCTTAAATATACTTAAAATGTGTATACGTACTTGTTTATAAATTGTTGAATAAATGTATGGTATTGGTGGAAGAAGTTTATCCGAATTATTATAAATCATTTCTAACTTGTTTCGTAATCGTTCTAAGTTAAATGTGGCTAGAAAAAGTTTTTTTTAGGTCCATTAGTTTATCCTTTGGGAAATTTACTTTGTAATTATTGAACAATAGATATGTGATTTGTAAGTTCGACATATATACAGTATATCAATATTTTTATGTTTAGATCCCAATATTTTAAACTAATTGTAATTTGCGTTTGCTTTTTTTTTTTTTTTTTGTATAAAAATTAATTTATTGTTTTAAATCGATTTTAAATTAACTTAGATACTTTAACTCTTAATGGATGATTATTATTAATAAATGAAAAAAAAAAAACAAAGACAATAACAAAAAACAGAGAAATGTAGATAGTATTGAGTACTTAGTATTACAGAGTGTTCATAAGACAGCAGTCAAAGTTATATAACAATGTGTTACACTGAGAGAGGGGCACAGTTTATGGATCTTCCAGTGTATATGCATGCACACGTAGTAATCAGGATAACATAGGTCGATATCAGGGGGGACTTGAGGGGCTGAGACCCCAAATATTTTAACAGCCACCTTAAAATCGAAACTTTGTTAGAAATGTTATTCGTTGTTTTTACATTTATCTGTTCGTTTTTTTGAAAATCGTAAAATTAGAAATAATAAAAATATATTTACAATATCATTAACAATACCAATTAGTTCGACTACTTACGAAAGAATTTTCAGTGCAATGAAAAAAAGTAAAAACTTGGCTAAGGACATCGTTGGTTCATGATAGGTTCAGCGATCTATTAGTACTATATATCGAAAAAGATATATTGAAAAATATAAAAAGCGATGATATTTTGAATATATTCGCTGATTACAAATAGATATTTGTCATTAAAATAAAATATTAATTATTTTTAAATATACGTTATTTAGTGTTTTTTTAATACAATTTAAACATATCTATATTTTTAATGGTAATAAGTTTTACTTGTGTATGGGAAGAGGGTGTGGAGGCGAAGCCCCTGCGGGTTATTTTACATTGAATTATTATAGCCCCCCTCAAAAATGCAACCAAACCTAACCAAATGTTCGCCTATGTTTAAATGGTTATATTGTTAATAGTTAATAATAGTTAAATAATAGTTCTAGCAAAAATCGTTTTAAAACTTAAATGAGAGTGTTTAAAAACTATTACAACTTTAACAGACCTCAGTATTCCATCAAATTTTTTCAATATTGCCGGCCATTAATGGTCTTCTTCAGTGGCGTGTACATAACTTTTATATGGGGGGATCCAGGGCCGTATTTAGGGGGGAGCTACAAGGTGCTGTTGCCCTGGGCGGCTAATTTTTTACATTTTCAATATTTAATAATCTAATATTTTTGAAGTAAAACTTCTTTACTAAATAAAAAATGTACCTCAAAAAAAAAATTTACAAAGACAATTACGGCGTCATATATTACATAGGAACAAATTTAAAAATGTGTTATATGTACAAATATGCTAAAAATTGCTCAAATATGCACTTTTCCTAAAATATGACGAAATATGCAAATTTAAACTTAGTATTTAGTTTTGCCATTTCATAAGACAAACTTATAACTCGCCTAGAATAATCTACAACCACTACAAAAAACAAGAAGTAACCCTAGTTATAAGCGATGACGAATACGAATAGCAAATACAAATGATTTACAACTCAATTGAACGCGTCATTATCGTTATGTATAATACAAATATTTCTTAATTGAACATATTTATATTCAACATCTTAATTATTGCTAAATCAACACCAATATTTCTATGTGTGTGGTAAAATCTAGTGTCTGGCAATGTGTACGAGTCAATGGGAATAAATGTTTGGCCAGTAACACTCGTCGCCACGTAACGCAGTTAACATCGATCTGCTTTCATATTGCCCGACCACATTGCTACGTTATATTATTGTTTCACCGGACGATATTGCAATTAATCCGTTCGCGTTTACAAAACCGTTGTTGTTTGCCATTGTTCCAAGATGATCGTTTTCGTTCGAGTGGTGTTAACCGCGTGCACGTGGGCGCTGGTGAGCACCGGTATCGTGAATTTGACGCCTTGTTCGCCGTCCGCCTACGTGGCCGCAACGCGAGCCGGTAGGCCCGTCGATCGGCGCCACCGCTCGAAGGACTGTGAGACGAGGCAGGACACGAAACCGATGGTGTCCTGTTCCTCCGGCTGGCCACGACTGCGGTGGCCAACATTCAAGACCACGCCGCCGCCATCGTCGTCAGGATGGAGTTGGACTTTGCCACCACCATCCGGTTGTACCCGAACCCCACCACCGCCGTCGTCCTGTTCCATCGACTGGCCGCGACTACGGTGGCCAACGGTGAAGTCCACGTCGCCACCACCGTCGTCGGGCTGGACCCGGACTTCGCCGTCACTATCCGACTGTACCCGGACAATCCCGCTGCCGACGTCCTATTCCTCCGGCTGGCCACGACTGCGGTGGCCAACAGTCAAGACCACGCCACCGCCATCGTCGTCAGGCTGGACCCGAACCACCCCACCGTGCGCTGTGCAGCCAGCCACAACGAAGTCGCCCTGCGCCCGAGGTAGGTCTGGCGGACTGATCGCGACAGTGCGTCCCGACGTGTCTGCGCGTTCAATCGGCGAACGGAGTGTTCATGGACATGTCCGGGCTCGTCATCCGCATGAATCTGCGGTCGCAGCCACTACCGCCGATCGGTTGTTCGCGCACCACCAGTACAGCTTGTGTTGAGGCGCAAAAGCCGACCAATTGTGCTCCGTCCACGTACGAAACAACTTACGGCTCTTCTCGGATGCGGACACGTCTCACAGTGGTATTATATATTATTTAATGACCCAATTATCATAAAACGATTATTATCGACCCGTAATATTAGTGGAAATGTATACTTTTCTAAGTATTACAAAGATAAATCCATATGTCTCTGTTCAATTAATACACGCCGTGCCGGTTCGGGCCAGTCATTGTTATCTGACTTTTGGATATGTATGGGTCTGGGCGATAGCATTTTTTCCCCTCCCGGCCTTTGACTGGCTCGGGTGATATCTCGCGACAAAAACAGGTCGTTGCTGTCTGTCGTGTTGGGTTCGCTCGTGCGGTACCGACCT